GGCTCCAGGGGCTTCACAAGCTCTACTGAAGATCCAAATAGTTCTTCAGCTTTTTTGTCCCAACACTTAACAGTTGAGACTAAAAGCACTCTCCTGAGTGAGCTGGAGCGGGACTTTTTGCTGTTGTTTCCTATCACCTCCTTAGGAGAGTTTACATCTGTTGCCAACCTGGAACTGTATGCTGCCCACTGCATGTATGCAGGAACAATAGAAGAGCCCACTGAATGCAGGAACAGTAAGACCCTGGAAAGGGATTGTATTGCTCAAACCCACCTGTCAGAACAGCTCTTCAAACTCCTTGTCAATAGATTTGTCCTCGGACTGCTTTCCTAGCACAGTGAATTTTTCAATCTGCATTTTGGCTAATGGAATGGGAAAACGTACCTTCAGAGTTAGCAAAAGTAACTCCTCTTTCACTTTGGAATCAATTCACTGATACAACTGAAGAGAAAAAGCATCTGTCTCCCCCCCAGTCTATAGTTACTGTGAAGTTACATGTACGCATGCAGACATGTCTATATTTCTACCAGCTTTCAGACTTGTCTCCATTTTAACCTTTTTCTACGATCAGCAAACTGCAGCCAGCCTCTCATTGTTACCGCTCTCCTTTTTCCAAAGTGGACAAACATGGATATGATTGTGTTTCACTGGTGCAGACAAGCAAATAGGAACAAATCAGGACACCAGCGAGAGCCTCTTAGCTTTCCCTGTTCTGCACCTTGTAAGACCTAGGAGTTGCAACAGCAAAACTATCTGAAAATGCACAGCAATAGCAGTGTTATCCTCACCTGCTGGAAAGGGTCCATTCCTCTAGAAAAAGACAGAATTTGTATGGAAAAATTACAGTTTTTATTAGACTAAAGCCTTACACCCTTTTCTCACATTCTGAATGATTAGGAAGTAACTTAGAGAAATATTTATTGTATCAAAGGTTCACTGGCCTTCCTCAAATACAAAAAGAAGTCCAACTGCCAGGAGGAAAAGATACATCAAGTGGTACCAAGGCAGCCAGGCAAAAACCGCAATAGCAACAAAAACAAGATGCAGCTTTCTAGGCAGCTGGAGACATGTCTAGAAAAGTTATTTTCTGACACTTCATGTCATTCTTCTTCTGATTCCTGCTCCTCACAATCCATCAAGAAGTTAAAGGTTATAACCTGAGGCTTTCGTGAACTTTCCTCTATAGAATGAAGCATTCATTCATTCATTGCTTCTACCAGCTAGTATTACAGACAGATGCTATTATAGCGTACCTATCAGGTTCTACCCGTACTGTGTTATGTACATTCAGCAGCTGACGATAAATCCTGCACTGTAAAGTACTTCATAAAAAGTCTTATTTGACTTAAGAACCTAACAAACTTCCTTCTCCTCATAAAGTTGCACAGACAGAACTTAATCTCCAAATCATTATTCCAAGTCTTGACAGAGGCCTGAGAGTTGTCAACAGTTATATCTGACAACACTATATATTTAAAACCCTGTTTATAAAATTGCATATGACTGTATAGAACACAAGCTGAGATTCTGTTTATGCCTGTATGGTCCCCGCTCAATTAACATGGTTGAAGAGCTCATCTGGGAATTTAAAAGAGTCAATATGTGACATTTCTGATCTCTTCAGTTGGATTTTTACATATCCTTCCCTAACAGACCTTTAAAGACAAGAAAGAAAAATATTTAAAGACTTTATTCTCGTCTTACAACAATGTTTCCAAGACAAGATTTACATTTGAACAGCAGAAGTGCAATTGTATCAGTCTTCAGTACAGAAAGTCCTCAGTATGGACCTCAGTATCTCCCTGTTGGAGAGGGTCCAGCGGAGGGCCATAGAAATGATCAGAGGGATGCAGCATCTCTGTTATGATGAACAGCTGAGAGAGTTGGGGTTGTTCAGCCTGGAAGCAGGCTCTGGGGAGACCTTACTGTGGCCTTTCAGAACTTAAATGGGGCCTGTAAGAAAGACGGGGACTTTTTAGCAGGGCATGTTGTGACAGGATGAGGGGTAATGGTTCTGAACTAAAAGAGGGAGATTGAAGCTGGATGCGAGGAAGAAATTCTGTACAATGAGGGTGATAAAATCCTGGCACTGGTTGCCCAGAAGAGGTGGTGGATGTGCCATCCCTGGAGATGTTCAAGGCCAGCCTGGATGTGGTTCTGGGCAACCTGATCTAGTTGAAGATGTCCCTCCCTGCTCACTGCAGGGGGTTGGACTAGATGACCTTCGAAGGTCTCTTCTAACCCAAACTATTCTATGACCCTATGAAGAACAAGCTGCATTGTAACTACAGCCATAGCTTTGCTGCAGTGCTCACAGTCTACACAGGAATCTTCATTGCCTAACAATACAATGGAAAAACTAACTGTGGATCTCAGAGCTAACTCTTCTACACGCTGTTCTTAACAGAAGGTAAGAATATTTATTTTGGGGCTGGGAGAGAGGGGAAGTCCCATTGACCAAAGAACAGAACAAGGAAGCTACTCATCAAAATTCCTGATAACAGTGTTATCACCTTAAAGGAAGCTGGAACTCAGCACTGCCTTGCAAGAAAGCGTCTGAGCATCACGTCACACGCGGGTTTGGCCTCTGCATCTGGGAGTGCCATAAGATCTTAGGGAATTTTGATCTCACTCTGCTTAATGCTCCAAGCCTATTCCAGGCATGCCTGCAGCAAGTTAAACACTTCTTTTTTGGTTCTAATAATTCAGTGAATCGAGCTTTCCCTGAGGTAAGACATAAGGTTACACTGCAGAATTTGGTCTGTTATATGTTGATCATAAAGGTGCACTAGCCTGAAGAACATCAGACCCTCACAGTCAGGAAGTTAGTACTGTTCCTGTTAAAGGAACATAGAAAATAACTGACCATGGTATTTCCAATACATTAACATATATGTTATATTCTTGTTCAAATGGCATAATAACAAGCACAGTATGGATATAAGTATGTTACATTGGAGAATTAATATTTATACACTTTGGCATGCAAAGCTGCTCTGCAAAAGTGACAATAGAGTGTAATTCACTAATGGCAAATTAATTACAGTCATTTAACAAATGCAACACCCATGTGTCACTGACTGATGAAGCCAAGTAGTTTGCCTAAAAGCATAAATAGTTGGAGATTCAGTTCAACTTATGTTCTTCTTAGTCTTTTTTATTTTAATTTTCATCAAATTGTTATGCTAATCCTCAAAATTCATTGCAGTAGATTCCAAGATAAAAAGAAACAATTCGGCTAATTTGCAAGTTACAAAACAAGGGAGGGGACTTCAAACATGCTTATGATACTCATGCCAGATACCACACCTAGACAAGCCTGAGCAAGTTGCCACCAGGACAAAAACAATGCTTCAAGTTATTTTTCACCATGCTGATGCTACAAATGGATGATCTCCTGTGGAGCTACTTGCTCCAAGCATCGAGTTATTGCAAGGAATCAAGAAAACACAAATGTAGACAAGTGCCTACATTCAATGTGATGTGGAGTACATGATTCAATGACAACACAGAATATTTAAATTGAAAGAAAGAATAGTATCTCAAGTGAGGCCTTCTTCACAGGTGTTGCGGTATCATGATTAAACAGCTATTCATCCCAACAAGAAACACTAAGTTTTTTAGAACAGAAGCAGCAAATAGATTCGTTACCATCTTGTGACTACATAAGGTTAGTGTACTTTCAAACTTACAACTCATATTCCTAACATACAGCATTCCTTACTTGTCAGTAGATGAAGGGAGGATACACTCTTTTCCTGCACTCAGAACTTTCCATCATTCCAGCCTCTATGCTCTTTAATATGCCAATCTCAGAGATTTGCAAAAGACAAAATGTAGTCTAGTACAGCAATCAGTAGATTATTACATGCCAAAGGAAAGTATGAGCAAATTCAGAGTTACTCTGAAGCAGGCTTCCTGCATCTGAATACACAGTTTCCTCGGTTATTGATTCCCAGCACCACATTTACATTTAATCCAGTCTCTCCTGGCAGCCAGGAAGGTTGCAAGACAACCTTTAAACAAGAAGAAAAGTTTCACCTTTGAGCAATAATTGGCTACATGTTTTAATGATTCCCTTGTGCTTAGCACAAACTGCACAGTACTCCATGATAGGGCATCCTTTCATCACTAGGAGAAAGGCATGCATCTTTCTTCCCCCACAAACTACCTTGATGGTATAATGAGCAACCTTGCAACAAAGCACTCCTACTGAGCAGCTTGGCACTATGAGAAGAGTTATGTTTTCTTAAGGGCAAATATTCCTTCATAATAAAAAGGTCTGAGAGCTTTCTGTTAATGTTCAACCACTGTGCTGAGGTTTAGATCTAGGAAGTAATAGCTATGCTGTCTTTAGGTCAATGCACCAACAACATACAGGTGGCAGACCCTGAGAACAGAAACTTTGGGCACCCTGTGGTGGCCAGATTGGAGAACTCTGCTTTGGCCAAGAGCAGGATGTGTAACAGAAAAGAATACCTAGCATGGTACAAGATTCAGAAACACAGGAGTTTTACATTGGCTTCCTCTTTCCTAAAAGGAGAGCTTTTGGAGAAGTTGGTTAGTATTTAGACAGGTTCTATTATCAAGAGAATGAATCCATTAAAAAGTCACCTTGCACCTTAATGTTTGGTTTACATAAGCAGCAATGAATGAGCAGTACTGAAAGCACCTTGAAAGCAGTTGGCAACTTACAGGCAGATTTTCAACTTCAAGGTAAAATGCAAGTGCTGCACCAGCCCTATTCATCTCAGTATCACATGAGACACAAAAAACTATGACAATTTGGTCCACTTTTACTACTCCTCTTACAGGGCCTCAGCTTCTCAGTTAATTCAGAGTTTAGCTGCCTCAAGAGCACATCCTTAAGCCTACACCGATATTGCAAACCTGTACTTTAACGGCACGGACAGCTATCCGGCTGTATTCATCTCTTATGAGGGAGACAAAGAAACTTACTTTAACTTCTGGTTTTCTTAAACAGCTTCAAAAACCGAGAACCCGAGACCTTACAAAGAGGAACAAGCATCAACCACATGTTACATCAGTACCTAAAGAGGGGTTTGGTCCGATTTTAGAATAAACGGCGGAGACACATGATCCAATTAAATTCCAATTATGTAAGTAGTAGGCATGAGTACTTACACAGGCACTGATTACAGCTATCAGAGTCTAAAGTCGCCTGCCGGAGAGACTCTGCTTCCTCTTCGCCGTCCCGACCGCACTACCGCGGGGCTCGTTTCATTGTTAACCCCCCCCATCTTTCACAGCTCTCGCTACAGACAATAGGAGACACTGCCCTGAAAACCCCATCTCCAAACCGTGACCCCTCTCCAGCGAGACTGGAAGAGCCGCCGCTCTCAACAGTGATGACTCATTACCCGTCCCATTGGGTAGGAAGGAGCCCCCCCCAACCATCACCACTCCCCGCCCGCCCGAGCCCCCACCCCGCGGGCAGCGAACCCCTCCCGGGATGGCGCTTACCTCCGAACAGGTGCGGCGAGAGGTGAGCGGGCAGCGAGCCGATTACCAGCCGGGGCCCGCCGGAGGAGCCGCTGCCGCCCCCCGCGGGCCGCTCCCGGCCGCCCTCCTCCGGGGTGCTGCTGACCGAGTCCTGCGAGCCGTAGGGGCCGCTGCTGTGGGGGATGTTGAAGGAGGACTGCGCGGCCCGGGCCCCGGAGGCGGTGGCCCCCCCTAAGGACCTGCTTCGGGGGGCCGACCCCGCGGCGGCACCCCCCGCCACTGCCGTCGCCGCTCCTCCTGCCGCCGCCGCTGTCGCGCCGCCGGGAGCGGCATGAGGCGCCGCCGCCAGGTGCGCGTACCGCCCGCCAGCGCCCGCCGAGCGCCCGCCGGTCCCGTTAGCGCCGCCGCCGCTGCTGGAGGAAGGTAAATCCCCGCCCGAGTACGCCCGGGTGCGGCCATTGGCGGCCGTGGGACTGCTTTGCTTCGCGCCCATGGTCCTGCCGCCGCCTGGCGCTGCCCGGTGCCCTTCGCCGCCGCCTTCCCCGCGGCTCCCGGGGGTGGTGGAAGTCCGGCCCCGGCGAGGGCGATCCGAGGCGCGAGTCGCGCCGGGGAAGGGGGAGAGGGTGGGCCGGGAAAAGGGAACGGGTCGCTTGGTGGGTCGGTGTCGAGAAGGGAGAGCCGCCCGCCGAGATCCGGCTCAGCTGGCGGCCCCGGCGCGGCCGCTGCTCGCGGGTCTGGGGCGCCACCATGAGCTGCTCGGGACGGTGCTGGCTCCCTCCGCGCTGCCGCTCGGCCCTGCTGCCGCTGCCGCGCCCGCCGCCGCCGTGACCGCCGCCGCCATCCTCCGCCGCCGAGCCCTGTGGGGGTCACCGGCGGCAGCAGCGCCGCCGAGGCCGCCCGCTCGCCCGCGGCGCGTCGTGCCTGTGCCGAGGGAGGCGGGAGGGGGCGGTCACCTCCCCGCAGCCGCTCCTCTATGTGTCGCCATACTGGGGGCGGCACCGGCGGGCGGGACGGGGAGCGGTTACGGCGGCAGTGGCCCCCGCCTCTCCCTCCCACCCCCCGTCGACCGGCGGGGAAGCGGGCCCGGCGCCTCAGCCCGCTTCTCACGCAAGGTGCGGGCCGAGGCCGCCGCTGGGGCCGTCAGCGGGGGGGCTGGTACCGGAGCGCGGGGCCGAGGAGAGAACCTGCCGGTAGCGGAGGGTGGGGTTCGGCTGCCTGCGGGGAAGGAAGCCCGCGGCGTGCCGAGGGTCTCCCCGACGCGGCAGGCGTTAGGCGGTAATGCCGGCGGGCCGGGCGAGTGGGGCGGCCTTTGAGGGCGGCCGTTGGCGGTGGCCGGAGGCGGCGGCCCGCGGGGCCGGGCTCAGAGCTGGGCCCCGCCAGGTGTGGGAGCAGAGCGGGCAGGGGCGGGTGACCGAGTGCGGGGCGCTGCACCCGAGGCGGCCCGTTCCCTCCTGGTTTGCTGTTGTAGCTTCAGCAGAGCGCCCGGATGCCCGGACTCCGCCTCGGGCGGGCCACGCCACGCTCCGGCTGAGGGCGAAGGGCCCAACCCGCCGCGCCCTGAGCCTAGGCTTGGCTGGGTGCCCCGTAAGGGTTGCTCACCCCCGCCGGGAGCTTTATCGTGTAGCTCGGGTTTAGCCCTGGAGGTTTGCTGTGAGTCTCGGTTCTCGTGGTGTATGTGGGGAAGAAGCTGGATGAGAAGAATGAAAATCTCTTACATCTTAAGGTTCGATGTAGGAGAACCCCGTAGACCTTAGTCTCTTAGAGAAAAACTCCCATTATTATTGATGAACGCTTTAGCCAAGGATTGACTAACACTGAATGGTTTGGGTAGGAAAGGACCTTTTAAGAGTTCATCCAGTTCCAACCCCCTTCCACTAGACCAGGTTGCTCAGTTTATATGAGCATGAGTTTATAGGAGCACAATTCCTACCATGGGTCATCTGAGGTAAACTGCTTTCGTGTATGGATTGTTGTCTGCTTTACCATAAAGCAGTGCTATACACCATCTTGGGACTCCCTGTCACACCATCTAGGTAGGGATTCCAACTACCTGCATGCCTGTGTCACTATGGCATAGTACCTGAGCTATTTTATAATTAATACAATGAAACAGATCAAAACCTTAATATATGAAGTATTACGTAACACTTGTACTAGACATACTGCATGTACATGCCATTTATTGCATCTATGTTACATGTATTTTGTATATGTAATGTACAACTAACATATGCGTATGGTGTCTTTGATACTCATGTACATACCTGAAGAGGTACAGAGGCCTCCCTTTCCCCCTCCTTTCACCATCTCCATTTTACAACTACATGTTCTTGCTTTCTGGCATCAGTGCAGCTCACAGTTCAATCTGGAGGAAGAGGTTCTGGGTATGGCAGAGGAGGTGGCGAGCCCTAACTCTTCATTCTGACACCGCTTTTCCAGAGAGCTGAGATGCTTTGTGAAGAATCTGAATCCCATATAGAGGATGCTGCTGTAAATGGTTTCAGTAAGAGGCAGAGATTCCACAGCTGTCTCATGAACAGCTTGGTCTTTTGTGTGCTGGGCAGACAGCTGGGGTTGATAATCTGCCGTCCCAGGCTATGCCATCCCCACTTGTGAATTATAAGCTGCAGTCCCTGCTACAAGTGGTGTGTACCCCACAGTAGACAAAGCATTAGCACTTTCTAGTTCAGTTTCCTACAGAAAGAAAATCGGTGTGAATATGCTGTCTGCTCTACCACGGATACTTTTGAAACCCTTGCCCAGCTTCAGCCAAATCTCTCAAGAGACACAGTATAGAAAATGAGTGAAGAATATGTAGAAAATAGAGATCCTATTAATATTCCCACAGAAGGGAAAGTTAACATAGGAATTCCTATCTTGCAGGATTCCAGGAATCCACATGGGCAAAGGATGTTGCAAACATGACTCATACTTTCTGCTGCTCACAGAATGCCTGTGGCATGCTCAGCCCTATCGGCTCAGGTTTAGAGGGCAGAATGCTCAGTTTTATGGAGTTTTTAAAGTTCCACTACTGAGTACTGGTGGAATTTGTCAGCTGCTAGAATAAACAGCATTTCTAACATAGTACATTGCTACACAATGCGACAGTACTTCCTGCAGTTTCCTTATACACTGGATCTAAGAGCTGAGCAGGTATTAAATACAGATTATATTTGACTGGGAATAACCCTTTATTACATTTAGGATTAAATGATAAAACTCAGGGGTGGGGAAGCCCTCAAGACATCCAGTTATTCAGTCTTAGAAAATTACCTTTAACAGAGTATCTGATTTTTTCAGAAGTCACAACAACAGGACAGCCTGCATTCCCTTCTCAGAGGTCGTGGCTATGCCCAGTGCAGTGTTTCTTTGGGGAATGGGGCTTCAGTTTTTGTTTTGCATATAGGGCACATATTTGCAGCTTTCTTATTATCATGTATGACTCTAAACAGGACATGTACCTCAAAGAACACCCACATCTTCTGAGAAGCAGTGTGACATGCTTCTGAGGGCTTTCTTCCCTCTGTCTTTCCCAGTTCCTCCTAAAAATGGTCCAACTGAAATTCTTCTGCCTGTGGAAATCCGCTTTCTATAGCCAACAGAACAGTTAGGTTTTCAAGATAACATTTCTTCTAACAAGTGACTGTCTACCAGCTGTTAAGTCTTGTAGAGGCAAGTTCCTGGCACTGTAACCTCCACCCATTTGTTCCTTAGTCCACTCCAGAAGTAATCTGCATAACAATTTCAGTTGCCTCCCCAGCAGAGAAAATAACCAGTGGCAAGAGGAAATGGTGCAGGGAGAATCAACCTGACCACATCTCCACAGATCTCAAGGCCTTAGTGGAAAGCACATAGTTCTATGTAAAAAAATCACTCCTATAGGCCTCTATGGACAAATGCTGTTATTACTCCTGTAAAAGCACATCTTGGGAGTCTTATTCAGACTTAAATAAGCACAAAATAACCTTGATCTTTGTCCAGGATAGTGGAAAAATAATGGTTTAGACTGGCCAATATTCAGTGCTCCTTGTTACAGGCTGCGATACCTCCAGTTCTGGTTTCACTACCTTGTCCATCAGCAAGGGAAAATAATGAACTTGTTTCTTGACCAGTTTCCTTGCAATACCAGCTGGCAGGTGTGCCCTAAGCATAGAGATTAGCTGTAAATCCGTAATAATCACACTGTAAATCACACATTCTGGAAAAGGAATGCTGATAAATGTGACAGGGGGTCTGAATTTTGGTCAGCAGTGAGATATGCAAACAGATCTGCCCGCCTGACCCCTTCTGTAGGGGCTTCTACAAGGAAGCTTCTAGAAGCTTCTCACAGGAGACACCCACAAGGCTCCGGTGCAGGCAGTGTCAGCTGGCTCCATGACAGACCTGCCACCAACCGAGGCCGAGCCCATCGGTGTGCAGAGCCGCAGCCCATGGGAAGGACTCACATTGAAGGAGTTTGTCAAGAACACCTCCTCAGAAAAGCAGCAGGCTGATGAGAAGCAGCACCTGTGGCAGGTGAGCCTGTGGAGGTCGACCCGTCACAAAATGGCTGGCGGGCTTGCTCCTGCCCTTGCCACCGCAGGATACCACACGTTCCAGCCAGCTCAGGCTGGGGGATTTGTGGCTCCTCAGGAGGAAACCATCCTCCTGCTCCCCACCCGCCACCTCGCACCTCTGATCCGCGGTGGAATCCGCATTTCCCAGCCCGCTGGCTCGCACCAGAGCTGCTCCCGCTGCCGACCGCGCCCCTGGCGCCACAGGGAAAAGGCGGGAGACCTGCGCCTCTTGTCACTCCTGCGGCCGGCTCCCAGCTCGGGTGCGAGAGGGCTTTCAAAGGAAGACAACGAAATCCAGGGCAAGGAGGAGAGGGAGAAAGAAACCCAGCGGGAAGGGACAGCAGCAAGCGGGTAATGGGGGCGGCCCCCCACCAGTAATAACTAGGGCCAGCCCTGCTTAGCTTCCAAGGTGGAGCACCTTAAAAGCGGCGCAGCTGCAATCTCCTCCCCGCCAGGAGGGGCGCCAGCGGCAGCCTTAAACCTCCCGCCTCGGTCCCGCTTCGCCCACCACCGGCTTCCCCGGCTGGGGCCGGGCTGACTTCCCCTGAGCCATCCCCCCGGCTCCTCCCCTGGTCCCGCCGCTCTCCCCTTCCTGCAGCGGAGACGTGGTGGCCGCCGGGCGGCCGGAGCGCAGTGATGTGGCTGTGGCTGGCGTTGGCGGCGCTGCTGGCGGCGGCGGGCGCGCAGTACGAGCGCTACAGCTTTCGCAGCTTCCCGCGGGACGAGCTCATGCCGCTCGAGTCTGCCTACCGCTACGGCCTGGACCAGTACAGCACTGAGAACTGGCCCGAGAGCGTCAATTACCTGGAGGTCAGCATGAGGCTCTACCGCCTGCTGCGCGACAGTGAGGCCTTCTGCCACCGCAACTGCAGCCACGCCGCCGGGCAGCCCCCCGCTCTTGCGGCCGAGCCCGCCGCTGCCTCCGGGGGAGCTCTGGCCGAGCTGCGCCTCCTGTCCGGGGTGCTGCGGCGGGCGCAGTGTCTGAGGCGCTGCAAGCAGGGGCTGCCTGCGTTCCGGCAGGCCCAGCCCGGCCGCGACCTCCTCGAGGACTTCCAGCGCCGAGAGCCCTACAAGTACCTGCAGTTCGCCTACTTCAAGGTGAGGCCCTGCCCTTCGTCCCTCCTCATCTCCTGTATGCTGTGTTTCTGCTCTGCCTGCATCTCCCTAGAGTCTTGCCTGGTGCTCTGCCACTCTCTAGCCAAACCAAGTAAGCCAAACGGGCTTGGCAGTGTCGCGGTGGAGTGGGGGGGGACAGTGTGGACTGTCCATGCATAGCCTTATTGGATGTGGATACCTCATACACCCACTCGTGGCAAAGCCCCTGGCCCATTACCTGGCACTCCAAGCAGTTGCTCTGGGGTGTAGCCTCATGCCCCATCACCTCTTCCACATCAGTTTAGCGGCCTCCCAGTCCCTTCCCTTCTGGGACTCTGCACTTCATAGTCTTCTAGGTATGTTTTCAAGCCCCTTTCTCCCATGCACCTCGTGTAACCCACCATGGGACCAGTGTTTGCGTTGTGTGCCCCTCTGCTTGCCACATGCTGCTATCCAGCTCACTCTTCACCAGTTTTTCCCCAACTCATTCACCACATCACCTAGATTAGCCCCTCCAGTTCTTCCCAGACCTGCACCCACTAAACCCTGCCTACTTGCCCTGTAGTTGTTTTTTTTCTATGCCTGCCCCTCTTACCTTTCCATCTGCCTTAGTTTTCAAACCTGTGAACCCTTTTTTAGACCTTTCATGTCACTGCTCTGCTACTGCAAGCACTCTTTGCTGCTTTCTGTCCCTCAGCATGTCCATCTTCCTCACTTGCTTCCTTCTGGTCCAGGTGTTTCAAGTGCAGCAACTCCCAGCCTGTGACACACAGATAACCAGGTGCCTGTAAACAACGGTTTTGCTAGAGCCACAGGAAGGAGTAAAGGGAAAACTGGCTGCTGAAGTGTGACACTAATGCTAGCACTGGAATGGTGTTTACTTTTTGCTTCAGGGTTAGCCAAGGCTGGGGATACACACCTCTTTTAACAGGTTTCATCCCGTTCTTCTAGCTACTTGTCATCCTCCTGTCCAGGATCTGATTAACAGTTCTGTCCCTTCTTCTCACCTTCCTCTCCTGTTTTCTAAATCAATGTCTGTCCCTCATGCAATCCCCTTAGGTACTGCAGTTACTCACATTTCAAATAAATGGGATTTCTGGGGAGGGAAGAAAACAAGCTGAGTTTTGCTTAGATTGTTTTCTTTCAGGCAATAGCTCCCAACTTATCCCAGTATACGTTACATAGGGTTGTATGCTTGTGCATTGTTTTTGAGATTGCTGCTTGAAAGCACTCATCTGCTTAACACTCATCATCTGTGTTTTACTGGTAGGAGTGCTGTTTTCTTGTTAAAATATTCAGGGTTTTTTTTCCAAATCACACAAACAGATGTAGAGAAATGTGCTCTCATAAAATAGAAACAATATCCACATGCACAGTATCACACCAGTGTCATCTGTGAGTTTGAAACCATCCGTAAGATCGTACGGAAGAACTTTATACATTAAGGCCTCTGCACACGTAGAAGGTATCAAATAGGGGACATTTCTCTTGAATAGTAGAGTGGGCAGGCACTCCTCCCATTCTCAAAGCCATATAGGGATACCAAAATGACATCAGCACAGATGTTTCCATTTCGTGTCTGTCTTTAAACCATTCATTCCCCTCTTGTGGCACGTACAAAGCTTGCAATTTATGGATCACAGTAAAAATCATTCCTACATCCTGTTTCTGGTACAGTTAAGTAACTGGTGGGTAGGAATGTGAGAGGGGAATGGGAGAAACACCTCCCTCTCCCTTTAAACTCTTTTTCCATCCCATTTGCAGGCTTGAGAGCTGCAGTTCCGTGGGTTTCCCCTTTAGCGTTAGTTGTTCATGTTGCCTTTCCTGCTAGGTTGCAGTTCAGGTCTGAACCATTAGCGCTCACTGGGGGAGTTCTTAATGGGCTTGCTAGAGCTAAACTGCTATGTACAAGGGATTTTTTCCTTGATGGTGGTTTTCTCAAGAAAAGAATATCCCTTTCTCAACCCCCTAGTCCCCCAGCAGGTTTCTGTAGTATAGAAAGAAAGAAGAGGGAAATGCTTTATGTCATTTTTTAGAGTGACCATGTGTTTATTGAGGTATGTTCCAGAGTGAAACTTTGCCACGTCTTGGATCCTGGGAGCAGATCTTTGTATGCTGCTGCTTGCTCCTCTGGAGGGAGCTTTCTTGTAGTCACGGAGTTCACTTAGGAACGTGTTTCTGCACAACTTTTCTTTTTTGTAGTGGTGAAAATTGAAACCGAGAGCAAATTGCGGACTAAGCAAAACTGGGAGGCTTGTCAGCATACTGACAAGCAGGGTTAAAGCATAAAGCACAAGTGAAACCTGGTGTTTGACGAAAGTGCAGCTGAGATTTCCCATTGGGTTTAGCACTGTCTGGGATGACTGGAAGCACATAGTTTTGGGAGAGCCAGGAAGGGCAGCTGGCAGAGCTCCAGCGCTGGGAGGGACACTCATAGCGGCACCGCAGCAAGAGCTCATGTTAGGGTTGAAGTCGTTTCTTTCTGGTAGTTGTCTTTCAAGTTTCTTTCTGAAATGAAAGGGCACCTTTTATGGATGAAGACAGAAAGAAGGATGCACATGTATGCTTGTGATTCTTGCTCATGGTTTATACATACACTTCCAAAAGCTATTTTAGATGTGAGGTAGAACTCTGTATCACCTGCATCTCAGTGTGCTGAATTGCTTGATGTGGATCTTAGCTTGTAAGGGAAAAGGTTTTAACATTTCACAAATATTTAAGAGTTTTACTTCCTCACTCTTTCCAAATATGGGCATATGTACTATATAGTTTATAAAAATGTGTATCTATATGTAAACTAAAAAAATATAAATGCATGCACACAGAAGTACATACACATTTGGCACATGCAGTTGTAAGTAAGGAATGCATACTTCACAGAGTATTTCTAATGGGGTTTAAAAATGAGTACAGGAAATCACATTAGGACTCAATTATTGAGCAAGTCCCTGCTGTTTGCTCTAACTTTGTAACACCATCAGGAAGATAGATTACTGTAGTATTGTCTTGCGTGCCACTGGGCCAGTAAGCAATGTAAACATGGTAAAAACATGGTAAGTGATTACTCCTAGCCAGTATCCAGAGCTTAGCATCAGTAATTGCTGTGAGAGAAATCCCACACAGGACAAACAATCTAATGTGCCTTGTCAGCTTCCCTGTCATCTTTTAGCCTATTGACAGCATCCTGCAGCTCAGCCCCTGCTGTAGGAGGACCCCTGCAAGGGTGCATTGAGCCTCAAGAGACCAGTGGCAGCACCTACTGCACCCTGAGCTCTGCGCTGCAGCCTCCCCTCTTGTCAGTTCTGTCTGGTGCCACCACTGGGGCAGCTAGAGCAGAGCTCCCAGACCGGGCCCTGGTCCTGAGGCGAGTGCTCGCCATCCTGCTTGCCTGCCTGTATGAGCTGCCACGCCATGTCCTGTTCGCTGCACTCTTGGTCGCTCACGCTCCTTGGGCCGGGTTTTTACCCGCTGATAAGTTCATACAAATACACATGTTCACACAAAATGTTCATAGTGATGCAGCTAGGAGTAAAACAGGAAAAATTACATCAGTTTTACTGTACTGTTGCATCTGCTGAGACTGGTTTCAGTAGAAGTAAGTTTGGGAATACAGAGGCTGCAGGAAAGTTCATTGACAGAAACTTGGAAACTTTGAACTGTTTTTTTCCAATTAACCTTTTTTCCCCTGCCTTCCCTTCTCTCCCCATCCCTGTTTAGGCTAATAATCTTCCAAAAGCAATTGCAGCAGCTCACACATTTCTTCTGAAGCATCCAGACGATGAAATGATGCAAAGAAATATGGCCTACTATAAGAGCATACCTGATGCTGAGGAGCATATTAAAGACTTGGAGACAAAACCTTATGAGGTATGCTTTTTTATTCAGAGTCTGGTCTTTTGGAACTGTTCAGTTACTCCTCTTACTGTGTGAGATTCAAGAATATTTGCTCATGTGTTCTTAGTTCCTACTCTCCCTCTTCCTGTCTTCTCCATCATCTCTGCTCTGCCTGCTTGATGCAGTCAGTAATTCTCACTTCTCACACTTTTCACTGTTTCATAAATGAGTCATAGTGATTCATAGATAGTGGCACACCTGGAGGTCACTACTGGAGCTAAGCAGGGGCGTAGTTACTCAAATGTGGTAAAGTGGCAAAGCTTAAAATAAGCTGCACATTTGGTGTTAAATATTCAACTGAAAATGTCTGTCAAAACCTGTGCTTTAGATTCACACTCTTACTGCTGTCCAACAGGCTTTTATTTTGATCTGAAATAGAATTATGTACTCTGCTCTCTAGAAATACCTGGTAAAAGCTATTAATGTCTATATTGTCCTCACATTAATCAGATAACAGCTTCTATAGTAATTCAGACATACAGACACATTCTGTATTTGAATTTACACACCGATTTCCACAGATCAGTTACTTCTGGTTCTCATTCCTGTCAATTTTCCAGAATCTTTTTGTCAGGGCTGTGAGAGCATACAATGGTGACAACTGGAGAACATCTATCTCAGACATGGAACTGGCTCTTCCAGATTTCTTCAAAGCCTATGATGACTGTACAGCAGCCTGTGAAGGTTCCCGAGAGATCAAGGATTTTAAAGACTTCTATCTTTCCATTGCAGGTGAGCAGTTAGGTAATAATAAGGGAAGATGTCCCAAAGGTGCACTTCAGTTTATCTGTAGGATTGACTACCAGAGTCCGCTTTCTCCGTTTGCAGTGTGAAATGCACATGCTACACCATGCTCAGTTTGGGCCAACATGAGTTTATTAGATTCACTGAAAACTGCTTGAATTCTGGTTTGCTCTTTCCAGTAGGATAAAGGAGGGCTCTCAGCAAATCAGAATGGAGAGCTTTTACTTTAACATGGAAATTGAAGAGTGTGTCAGAATAACAGATGTGTAAGTAGTCAGAACTACTCCATCCAGGTAGCAACAGTTATCCAGACAGGTCTCTTGACAAACATTTCAGTGTCAGTTTGGCACCTTTGAGGCTCAGCGGTTAGCCTGCCTTCAAAATCTGCTTTGTGTTTTGTGTGTCACTGATCAGATGTATCTGCTTTCTCATAAACGTGACAAATTTCTGTTGCCTGTTTTTTCATCTTTTCCACAGCAGAGTTTTGTTAGCAGTTAAGATTTCTTTTTTCTTTAGTATGTAGATTAAAAAAATCAATTGCTTTGCAAAGGAAAAGAGATACCACCTTTTTTGATTGCTGTCAAATTGACACATACTCATTTCCTATGCTCTTCTGTATCAAAAGAAACAATTTCTTCAGTGTTCTGGGCTCAGTGTTGCTGTCAACATTGTGTGGAGAATGCTGGCATGCTTTATCAACAAACTTAAAAACATGAAAAATGCAACAGAATTCTGCTTTGCCAGAAGGAAAACCAGCCCAACTTTTTGTCCTAAAGCCATCAGATGTGTTGCTGAAGGAAGATTTGTGAAATACATAGATGCATAGATGTGAAGTGCAAGAGCAGTGCCACAGTTTCTTAGTGTGGAATTGGTACCTATCAGTACAGCTGACCTGGAACAGCTATTGCTGGCTGTTCCTTAAGCCATGCTTTACTCTTGGGCCAAGCAGACAGGTGCCTGAAACAGTAGATAAGGAGTGAAGGTCCAATCACATGTGGTAAAGCATGAAACACAGGCCTTCTTTCCCAGTGGTTCAGAGCCCTGACATCAGGATGACTCCAAAGCCAACAGTGTCCATGCTTACCTGTGATTGGCACTTGCTGTCATACTTCCTCTTCCTCCTTGGAAGGGAAGGACAATTCCCAGCAATAGTGGTGAGAAGGAAAAGTAGGAGATGCTGTGTGATGTCAGCATGGGCATACGCATACATTTCAAGTATTTTGTTCTTGACATGGGAAAATTCACATTTACTTGCACTGCCTGGGCAGAGCTGTGCTCTTGCTCCGGGGAGATGCATTCTGCCTTTGAGGCTTTTAATGCAGAAGAAGATGCAGCAAGAAAAGCTAACCAGAAGTATTTGGTGCTTGCACTAGGTACGTGTTTATCCCTGAGCAATGAGTTCTGTTTGGAAGCCAGCTGTTCTCATTGCATGGGATCACTTCACTGAGGGACTTGTGTTTCTAGCTTTATGTACTGGCTAGAATTGAATACTACTCTGTTTTGGGATTCCACTGTTCTTGTAAAAAATGGGCCTGGTAATTTCATGTTGCCAGTTTAGCTGGCTTCAGCATTCTTCGTGTTAGGAATTGTCAGAGGTAAAAACAGGGGAAAGGCCCTTTGCTGTTCTTTTGCTTTGGTCAGAGACTTGCCACATAAGCTTAGATAACTTGGTTTCACCTGCCCAATGTGGCTGACAGGGAAACTAAAGCTTTAAAATACTTTTGTTTGGTGGTATTGCCTAATGTGATCTGTCCTGAAACTGCTCGAAACTCTTTGTTGGCAGCCACAGACTGCCTGTAGGTGTCAGTGTAACCTAACTGCTAGGGCTCTGGAACTGCTGCTTTGGATCGTTTCAAGTCCAGACTGCCCAGATTTTTATGGAAGAGCTAAGTACCAGTGCTTGATACGTACCTCAGATGGAGCTGTAGATGCTCAGTAGTTCCAGGCAGCAAGATCCAGCTGCATAGAACCCAGGAGAGCATTATAAGGTGAAAAGTTAATGGGTACCTCGTGGGAGGGTTTATAATGATTCACTGTGCTCTGTTCACATCCTGTGTTATTTTCTTCCTTTCAGATCATTATATTGAAGTTCTTGCATGCAAAGTGCAGTGCGAGAGCAATCTGACACCCATTATTGGAGGCTTTGTTGTTGAGAAATTTGTGGCCACCATGTACCATTACTTACAGTTTGCTTATTATAAATGTAAGTAGTGATTTAATGTGCTGAAATAACATTGGGATGATGTGGGCAATTTCCATTCATAATTTTTTCCTCTAGTTATAATGCTTTACAATGTAAATAGTAGCCTTCAGAACCTGCATTTTAACCTGTTCTGGGACAGAAAGTCTTGAGTTGCTTGGCATCTTTTTCTCCCTCTATAACTGTAGTTAACAGACACGGGAGGGAGATAAACCTGATGTTTAGAGCCCATGGTCATAAAATTCTCCATGACAAAATAAATTGCTGAATGTAAGTCCCATAAGGATTTTGTCCAGGTCAGGCCCCCCTGTTTTAAGTTATGCATGGTTGTGGCTGGTCTCTGCTTGGGTGCTGGAAAAATGAGGTGGTCACAGTAAACGTCGTCTGATCCATTAGTACCATTTGTTCTTTATATGGTAAGTACTGCCAGCACAAGTTCTTTACACTTGTGTGTAAGTTTATATGAGCTTTTATCATTTTGTGTAAATGATAAATGCTCATATAAATTATAAACGTTCATAGTATGTATTTTAGATGTTTAAATGGTGCACCAATTCTTCTGCCTGTTTGAAGGAACTCAAGACATCTTAGGGTAGAGAGTGCCAGCCACTTCCATTGGAACATGTGCAGTGAAACAGACTGATTTTGTACATCTGTGTACAAAAATCGCATGGTTTGAGCCAAAAAGCCATAGGGGTCAAGCTGTCAAGCCTACGTGGTTTCTAAGCAGCTGAATGTATAGCTCTAGCATATTTTTTCTTAGGCTTATAACTTACTCAGAGAAAAGAAAGATTGTGATTCAAGGCAACACATTTAACATAACACGCTTCATTCTATTCAATAAATACTCAATTTTCAATTTACTATTCATCATTTCTTCCACAGAGAAACCTAGAGGGTATTTCATACCATTCTCTTCTCCCTAGTGGATTCTTATAGTCCCATTAAAAGGAGGCTTATGGGGCTACATGGGTTTTGAGCAAAAGTGGACCGCTTCACAGAAATTGTAGTGTTCTGGTGCTCAGTGATAACATACTTGATAGTGAAGTAACTCAGTGAATTTTGCAGTTTCTTGAGGGGCTACTTGCACTGTAAAGGACACATGTAGCACTTGCAGCTACTCCTGCAGGCTCCAGCATCAAAGGGAAGACACATTCAGCCATGTAGCATCAAGTTCTTCTGCTTATGTTGTTTGACTGCACATTTTACACATCCACTCTTCCATCTTTGTCAGTTCTTGTACAATGAAGTGGGTTGTTTTTTTTTGCTGGGGGGGTGGTGGAATATTTGGTTAGGATTTTCATAGAAAACCATCAGTTAAGTCCCTCATTTTGAATAACGTTTCAGAGCATGAAAATAATGTATCCTTTCTGGGAAGCAATTTTGTTGTGTTTTTTTTTTATATGCAGCTGGTGAGGAGATAGAAAATGGGTTCTATTTCCATCTGAGTTTTTCAGAGCTTGGATAATAGTAGGAATTTGGTCATTTACCTTAGCTGACTTTTCGTGTGTGTGTGTTTATTAATTAGCTAATGACATGAAGAATGCAGCTGCTTGTGCTGCTAGTTACCTTCTGTTTGACCAGAAAGATGAAGTAATGAAACAGAACATGGTCTACTATCAGTACCACAAAGACAAATGGGGACTTAAAGAGGAGGATTTTCAGCCCAGATCGGTAGGTGAATTAATCAATTTGCCTTCTAGACACATTCAGATGTTTTCCTGATGCTCAGTGGGTCAGAGGTTGGGAAAGTGGGAGTTATCTCTTGGTTCTGGAGTTAAGCACATGTTGTTTTATTAAAACTGCATAGAAAGTTGTACACAAAGATGTACTGTGTGATGTAGACAGTGAATGTCATAGTCTTTTGTGTTGGCATATATTACAGTAGGGTATATTATGCTGACAAGTAAATTCACAGTGGTACTTGTCTGACACATGCATATGTATATCTTTATCTACCTTGATGATTGAACCAGCTGCTCCCCAAAATTACAGATTGCTCCAGTAACATTCAGGCTTTTGGGTATCACTTCTTATTTGCCAACATGCCCACTTGCTTCTTATTTCAGGTTCTTTTGGTGTTGAAATGGTGTCTGGATACAGTAACCCCAGCTAAACTTACTTTCCACTTACTTTAGAACATAGTTAGGTGGATGAGGACGGAAAAAGGTCCAGGACCGTACTGCATCTAATTATCTCAGCTGGAATACTTGCTGCAAAGAGTCCACAGTAAACATCAGGCCAACCAGCAATGACTGTTATCTCTACATCCTTGCTTTATGTGTCTTTCTAGACTTGTATGTAACAACTTGCTAGATATGAGTGTGATTCTGAATTTATCTGATAAACCCCATATATTAAGATTCCATATAGTCCTAATTAAAACTACTATTCACTTTTTATGTGTGGAATATATGTAACCAGATTTTATAAACTGAATTGGGATTATACATAAAAGAAAATATTTTCCATGGCTTAAGGAGCAGCATTTGAGACTGCACAATTATTTTCTTATTTCACAATAAGATATGTAGGATATCATCAAGTGAAATATAGAGCTCTAGCTTCATGGCTGGCAACTGAACAGTGCCATTTTCAAATCAGGGTGTATTTAGCCCAACATACATTCATTCTTTTCCTGTAACTTGCAACTGGACTGAAATTCTTAATCCATCTTTCAGCACAGAAGAGAAAAATGCAATATAATGATGTGATCTAGATTTGCAAAATTATTCTAAAAACGGGTTTCCATGCTAGTCTTAAATTTCCATGCCCAAGGAAGTTTTACCGATAAAACTACTTTGCTGTGTTTCTGGACTCTGACAATCAAACTGGATTTTCTCATTACTAGGATTTATGTCATACAACTGAATTAACTGCTTTGTGACACCTGAGTGACTCGTTAGACATCAGTGGCGTGTGCTGACATAGTCATTAGCCATACATGTTCTTATAGCATGACTTCTCTATGGAAGAGTCATTTAAGTTAACCTAGCTGAAACAACAGCGAGCATCCCGCTGGGTAACATTCCAGTTGCCCTTCCGGTATTGCTTCTTCAGGCACCTCAGTCACTGAGATCTGCATTGGGCCAGAGGCCCTTGATTCTTAACGCTGTGTTGAACTCAGTACACACGTGCAGTGCTTAGGTGACTGACTTTATCTTTAGCAGCACTGCAGAGCAGCTCACATATGCACCTGATAAGTTGCACTGATTTGATAATGCTCCTTCCTCTCAGGCCAGGAAACTGAAGTCAGAAATACCACTGCATTTGAGTTAAATGGGTTTTATTTGTGGACAACTGTTATGTCCAGCACACCTATCTGCACACTGGAAACCCAGGTCTGCCTTGCAGGGCCAGCTGAGACGGAAGAAAGCAAAAATGCATTTGGTTCTTTCAGGCAGCAGCAGTGAGTCCGAGTTCAGAGCTGAAAGGGACCACTCCTTTGTCACTGCTTTTGGGACAAAACTGTGCTTTATAGCTGTATTGGAGACAATGTTTGGCAGGGGTGGGAGTAAGAGGTAGCAAAGTATAAAACTGCAGGCCACAGACAGATTTGGCATACATGTACAGATAGGGCAGAACAAGGGCCTTACATGTTAACTCTGAATGTTTCATTGATAACTTCTCAGGAGCTGAGGACTACAGATTGTTTTTAAATATAAAATATTAAATGCACACAGCTGTATTTTCTTCTGTATTGATCCATGGAACTAAGAACAGAAGTTGCTTGCTACGCAAATCACTTGTCATGAAAACCATAATGCCTCTGGTTTATTTTCACAGTGGTAACGGAGTGACAGCAGCATTTGGCTCTGACACTAAGCTTCACATGTTCTTGTGAAAGAGGAAGTTTACTGTTTTCCTTCCCAAAAAGAGTTAAAGGGGATGATCAAAGTAGATTACTGTTGGTATTCACAAATATGAGAGTAGGTGACTGAGCTAAACAGACAGGTCGGTGACCATACAGAATTTCCCTAGCCCAGAATCAGGCTGGGGTCAGCCATTATCATGCAAAATAGCTTAGTGTCTTTTTCTCAGAAATGCCTGCTGCCATATGCCAGAGCACAGGGAGACAGAAGCTTTCTCACATCCAAAGCCTGCTGGAACGCAGGCACAGGCTGCTGCTCCGCTCTGGCAGTCTCATTCCTTATCCTCAGACTTGCCAATGCTTTGAAACGTGAGAAAGAGGAGAGTGCTTTGTTCTTCTGACACTGATGGAGCTTGTGCTTTGAAAGGTCCACAGAAGACACTGGATACACTGCTTGCTGTTTTACTGTTTCCTTTAACAAACATTATAACCCCCCCTGGAGCTACCTTCTACTACGTCTGGGTCTGACTTTGCTGGGGTACCTTCAGGTGACATGTGATGGCGCTCCCCTGTCTTGCTACCCTAACATGGAAATTCTGTTTTTTGACAGGAGGCTGTTCGATATCACAACATAACCACACTCCAGTTGGAAATGTATGACTTTGCAAAGGAACATCTGATGGATGATGATGAGGTGAGTTTTCTAGAAAGGAAATCGTGGTCAAAAACCAGTAATCACATTAAAGTGAAGATGATACATAGATGGAATCTAAGGATTTAGGTACTATGGAAAAATCTTCTTGTAACCATGACCATTTTAGCATGATTTTTTTCTTTTGTAAATGGAATATAAGAAGCAAACCAGAACATCACATAGAGTTTAAAAAAATCTGGATGGTATTAACACGAAGGTAAATGTAACGCATTGAGCCCACAAAACAAAAATCCACCTTGCAAACTATAACACAAGGGGGCAGAGAAGTAGTGTGTATATATATTTTTTAATATATATTATATATATATTTAAACCTAATGTATTTTCTGTCTTTGGGGGGGGTTATTTGGGTTTGGGTTTTTTTGGTTGTTTCTGTCTGAAATGTTGTTTAAATTAGATTTAGAGATCCTTATAGTTTTGTCCAGAAGTAATCACCTAAATCTTAATCTTTGTCAAAAGGAAATCTTGACATCTGTTGGTTCTGTGTTTTGTTTTTTTTTCCTGCACAGTAACATTTTGCTCACCCAGTCTTGCTTCTAGAATGTTTGGAATTCCTGGGCAGATAACATAAAATTACTACTATTACTATTGTTACTATTGTTTTTTAGCAAGGAAAGTAGTTGAATTTTTGAGAGGGCATATCTTTGTCTCCCACAGCTGAAATGAAAATGTGGAGGCTTTGGATTGCCTTTTGTTTTGCTTTGTTTTCAGAATCATTCATTTAAAGGTTTGAAAAGACTCTTCAAATGATGGAATAGTTCGTTGTTGGCACTGGTGAAGAGCTATGCTCAGTTTGGCATGGGGCAGGGTACTTGTAATGATCACACCTGAGCTCTTTTTTAGTTAGAAAAGAGAAAGCTGGTTTATGTTAAAAAATGAAATCACCTTTGCAATTTTTATGTTATCCAGCACATAGGGAGACATAATATTTTATAACACAAAAGTAATAACATGTCTGTGCTGGCTTCAGTATGCTAGTGACCTGAAAACAAGTCTATACATAAGATTCCTTTGCAAGGTTACCAGACTTGAGGAAGACTTTCCATTGTGATAAAATTGTGAAAGACAGTTTAAAAAGCTTGTTATAAGGGTAAGTTTAGATGAGGACTGGTCTGTACAGATTTTCATCTGGGTGTGAAATACTTGAGCACTTTCTATATTCCCTTGTTGGTTTGTGCTTTGCCCATTATGTTGGACGTAAACGTAATTTGTAGTTCTTCTCTCATATCTGTTGCTTCAGAAGGCAGTGATGAGTAGTTAACGAAGTGGAGAAGCAGTCTGTTGTGAAGGCTTTCCCCATATGTTCTTAGAAGGACGATAGAAACAATCTTCAGCCTCAAGTACTGTGTTTTATATAGAATATATACTATTCTATATAAACAAGGAGTTATTTGCTGGCATTCGTTCCTGTAGCCAGTTTCACTGGTGCAGTTATAAATGACATTGCAATCTGCAGGAGGGAAGTACAGTGGAAACCTCAGTTAGACTTTTGGGGAAGTGACATTACACTGGATTAATTATTTGGGTTAAATAACCAAAATTATTGGGTCTGGTAGTGCCACAGATATCCCTACCCCACACTCTCATCATAATAGGAAAGTTAGCATTCTCCTCTCCCAAGGGAAAGCTTCTGTGCCCTCCCTTACTAGGGCTGAAGAACCTGGGAGGGATGGAGACTGTCCATGCCTCTGGCTTAGCTCTGGCTTTTGATAGTGAACTCATAAATCCCTGGCTACCAGAACTTGTCTTTGGCTGCAGGAGCCTTCCAGGGAGTCCAGACAGCAGGAATAGCACAAAGGTAAAAGTGCTACCTTCCAGTTTCTGCTGTATGGGCAGGACCTGGTAGCAGAAGTGGAATTTCTTGTTAATATTTCTTCTGGCACAGATGGAAAAGCTTATTCCGTTGGAATGCTGAAAACCGAAAAACCCAGATAAGGTGTTACAGTAAAAGCTTTATTAAAAGTTGTTAAGGATGAAGGCAACCTCTCTTTTTAATACACTGTTTATTTAAACCATGTGCATCTCTGGCTGTAGACCATACCTTTTGTGTGTCTCTGTGGTCCATGTTTGCTGTCTGTGAAGTTGCTTGTGGGCCAACAAGCCCATAAAATAATCTGCAGAAGAAAATAAATTGAGTGAAAATTGAGTGAAATTTGAGTGAAAATTGAGTGAAGCAAAAGGATTCATGTGGCAAAAAGGGTCTCTTCCTATGTGAATGTCATCATTCCCAAGTGGAGAATCTCACTTTGTTCAGACTTCTCAGTGCTCCCATATCATCCATGTGGCTTTTTAAATCCAATTAGCAAAGTGAGTGAGAACATGTGGCTTCTTCCAGTAATACATGGCAGTAATTGCAAAGGCTGGAACATGCAGTAATGATTTTTGCATGTGTCACTACAAGAAATACTGTCCCATTCATGTTACTTTATTAATGTTTTTCCACAAGGAAATGAAAAACTCCAGTTCAAGCATTTAACACAGCAGAGGTGACAGAGAGCATTAGTGCCAACTAGCTACAAATTACTTTTAAGACTTCAGAGTAATTATTATTAAATATCCTTACAGTTTTCCACTGTGAAGTTGAAAGAACATTACACAGAGTTGTCATCTTAGTTGGCCATGGCTTGTTAAGCTTTTGGATTCCTGTTCAGATGTGTAATTCACAAAGGCTCTAATAGATACAACTCCTGGTATTGCACAGATTTAAATAGCAAACGGAAATGCTGTTAAGAGCCAGATACTCAGCTAGTGTAGATATAACTTCAGCACTGCACTAATTGTATGAGACATGCTTCTGGCCCATAAAATCAGTGCTTTTGAGGACTTTTTTTTATTTTCAGGGGTAGCTACTTAGCTGTTCTAAATTGGATAAGAACCACAAGTATTTGGCTGAGATGTGCCTACAATGTGATTTTTCTTTCAGTACTTGATCAGTAGGTGAAAAACTGTTGGCAGCTTTGACCCACTTTATTTGCCATCTTGTTCTTTTTATTTGTATGTGATGTGTGTATCCATTTGTACAGTAGCTGAAATTCAGATGCTCCATTCTTGAGCGCGATGCGAAGGAAAGTTAAGCATTGAACTAATGTGACTGCTGGAAGGAGAACATGTGGAATAACATCAAAGCATGAGGGCCCAGTAGGCTACTTATAGCAAATAATGATCTGAATTCAACCTATTTTTCTGCTTGGGAATCACTAACACCATATTTTCAGCTTTATTAACTCATTTTTTTGCATACATTCAGATGATCTATACAAGTGTGCTTGTAATGGCAAGTTGTAACTGCAGACATGTAAACCCTGCCCTGCCTGCAATCTCAGACCAGCGCAGCTCCAATAGCACCACTACACTGAGAAGAGCTGGTGGCAGCCATTTCAGAGAGGGTTGGCAGCTAAGTGGCATTGTTATGGTCCTTGTTCAACATAAGGTTCTTTAGAGAAAGAAGGTGTTTTTTCTGTCATCATTTGCTAGTGGAGGTACTGCCTACATGGCTGGCCCTGCAGAACCTTCCTGCTTTCCCGTCTTGCTTCTTTACCGTTGGGTTTGTATCCTGGTCAAAGGTGTTCCTTCCATTTAAACCACCTTCCATGGGAAGCTGGCTCCATGATTGGGCTTAAATGGCAGGATGTCCCTAAGTTGTGACATTAGGAGGAATTTTTTACCTGCCCAGTTTTTCTTAAGCTTCTGCATGCAGCGTAAAGCAGGCAAGAGAGAGTAAATGGAGCTCAGAAACAAAGCCACTAGAAGGCTTCTGTTTTCAGTGCAGCGGGAGCAGTGTTGAAGTTGCTTTGAAACGGGGCTGACTCATGTTTTATAGGCATTATAAAAATGTTAAGAGGAAAGCGTATTTATTGGATTACTATAAAATACTATTGTAATAACTGCAGTGTGCTGCAGTCTCAGAGTGTATGGGAAGAGAGCAGTTACATGTTCAGACTGTATCCATAAAAATGAAATGGAAAAATATTTGAGAAAGCAGTTGACATACATGTAAAGAACAAATAAGCTCTTTTAATATTGAAGAAAACCTAAAAGCATGTGGCAGTGGGGCGCTGTGGACTAGGTATCTGAAAAATAAACAGGTTAAGGGCCAAATAATTTCTGTGCACAAAGAATTGAGGGATTTTTTTCTCCCTTTGCTAGAATGCAAGGAATGTCCAGCATGGTCTGTACTGCTCTTGGAAGATCTGGGAAGGCTTTGAGGTGGTTACAGTGAACTCTCATGTTTTAACTGAAGGTTAGATCAAGGAACTTTTTCTTAGTCGAAGGCTGAATAAACCTTTCAGGCTGAGCCATCTGTTGACACATGCCTTACGGTTATCCCAAAATAATGTGTGTGTCCCCAAAATATCACTGGCCAGAGGACTGTGGGGTGTGCACTTTATAAGCTCTACTGAGGCTTAGGGAGCACATACTCTCCATAGTTGCCCACATCAACCCTTTGTCTTCCCTCTTGCAGACGGGCTATTCCTCTTTGAACAAAATCTGTTGATTTTCATAATCTAACTCTTTGCCACTACTCCCATGAGTTATTCACATTAGTCCCTGGGACAGTTACAAGACAATTACTCATTAGTTACAGGGCAGCCCTGACCTCTCCTCATACATGTTACCCCTGCAGCCCTTTCCCCTACCACTGTCTTTTCACCCATGGCCCAATACATAAGGGAATCAAATCTGTTACTGTTGAACAACTTTCCAGTGACTAAGATCTTCCAATTGTAGCCAGATTTTAGTTTTTGCTGTGAAGGACAGCTGGGGGACATTTTGTGGGATGAATGTTCTCCTTCTAGATCATAAGGAAACAAAGATCCAGCCAGTTCTTGCTCTGTTTGTTGTCTCCCAAGGTACAGTTTGTTCAATGAGCTGGGATAAAGGCTGCTTCTTACTCATCCACTGATAATCACACATGGAGGGATGTCCATAGTAATACTTTTCTGTAGAATTTAATTAATTCTAGAACACTATTGTTTTAATATTTTCTGCTATTTCCCTATAAGTTTTTTTTTTTCCCCCATAAGTTTTCCAGTTCACCCTGAGAAAGGACAAGGACCCATGAATGATTGATGTTTTCTATGTAGAAAACAGTGCTTAGTCTTCCCAACTAACAGCAAAGCATCTGATCTGCCAGTACAGCTGCTAGTGCTTGCAACTGTATCTAAATGCTGCCATCAAAAGAAGAGTTGGTGCTGGACTGTCAGGCTCAAGTGGGCTATAACTGAGCCATGTGTTGGTAGCTTTTCCTCTTTGCTACTTATTTTAATAGCTGGCTAGGAGTCTCCAAAGTACAGAGGTTTCTTCTAAAAGGTTGTGTTTTGTGTGTGTGCATGCAGCATTTAACATTGCATAAGGAAGGGCTGGCAACAACTCCTGGCCCACTGTGTACCATGGTCTTGGATGCTCAGCTTGCAGTAGTAAGTGAGGACTTCTGCATTTTTCATCCTTTTAGCGCTTACTTTTTCAAGTGCTATAGCTTCATTTAATACACAGCTTCACTGGTACACCCGTATCAGTAGCCTGGGTTAGCTTATTCAGCATTGATCAAGAACTGTGTTTTAAAATCATACTTCATCATGAACCACCTACTCACTTACCCTCTGTAAAACCTGCTGGAATGACTTAACTGTGGTACAAAACTTGTTCTTTCTGTTTGTGCTCTGTTTAGCTGTTAATCTAAGCCAAGGCTGCTCAGTTTGCGTATCTGGCAGATAATTAGAGGCCCCAGTTGATCAGATCAGCTTCTCTGGTTCTTCCTACCACTCACACCAGTCTGGGAGCATTCCCCTTCTGCTGTTCGTTACCATGCCTCCCATATTTCAGGCTGTACCTGTCCCATCTTTCCCCATACATCCTTGCTGCGTCACTCCCACTTCCTTGGACTGGGAGAGAGAAGAAAAGGTGGGTAGCACAGAGAAGGGAGGTCATGGGGTGCTGGCAGAGCTGCTGTACCTGTAGCATGTACCCAGCTTCCAGTGAAAACCAGGAGGTGAAGACTGTGGACGGAGAGCCAGCTTGCTGATGAGGATGTGCTTCGCTGCAGCTGACCAGGCAGTCCCCACGTGCACACCGTTGTTGGCTGCCTATCTATCAGGCATGTACTGGGCTGGTGGCAAACCCTTCTCTTCCCCCAGCTTAGTCAGACTTCCCATACTGATTTACTAGCTACTGCCCAGACAGCTGCGTCATGCTTTGGGCCATATATTGCTCAACTCTGATTTACATCAGCACTGTGTCTGAGCAGCATATTTATGTAAGCTGCATTACTGGTGGTGGCTGTTGTCCTGTGTGGTAGCTGCAGCAACTGCATGTAAAATTTGATGTCCTTCCTATTAAGATAGGTAGGAGCCAAATAGCATTCCAGATAACGGGAGGAAATAATATCAGAGAATTATTTTGGGCTCCAGATCCGCAGGCCAGCATGAAGTTTATTAGATATCAGTGGGCAGGAGTGAACACCTTGGTAAACTCAGTCGTGCAGAATGCCTGATGCGGTGTCAAGTGAGCGCTAATGGGGCAAGGACAGTTGGTCGGTTTGGTCATAGCTGCTAGTGTGACAATGTGATCAGCTCTTCTGATATAGCCCTAGCACCTTTCATTAGGTTGCCAGCCGCACTGTGGACAACTTGCAATGTTTTACATTCTGGCTGAATGCACAGGCAAAAGTATTTTAACTGCAGGTTTTGCTTGTCTTTAACCTGGAGTTTTTGCCTTCTCAAATATAACCAGCATCCAGGCAATTACTCAGTTGCATTACAGCGTATTTTCTGTATGTATATTGTTTGGGCAGCTGTTTTTGTATGTTTGCCATATTTTAACCTCTCTTACTCCCCAGTATTTCTTGTTAGAGCACAACAGCTTCTGATATCCTTTCCCTCAGAGATCATTTTCAGGCTCTAGAGGTTTCAGAATTCAGTCAATTTTTAAGTATCCTTTTCCATTTAAAACATGGGCTTCTTACATGTTTCTGGATGTGAAAACTTACTAGAATTAAAAAACCTGAATTCTGTTTGCGATCTGTGCCTCCTGAAATACCCTATCTTACTGATTAATGTGGCAATAATGTGAATTGAATGAAGATTCCATATGGTTGAGTTACCAAAGATACGATATTGAAATCCCCATTGTCTTCCTTATACTTCCTTATTCTGGATCATCTAGTCAGATGTTTGTGCCTTTCACCCTGCCTTTCAGACTCTTTATTTTTTAAGGGTTGTCTTTGCACGTAGAACAAGGGCAAAAATCCTTCTTATTGTCTGTTATTCTTTCATTAAACTGTGATCCTGAGGTGTAAAGCAGTTAGTCTGAACCTAGATCTGGGACTCCTGCAGCAGACACCTGTATTCGCAGTCTCCTAACTCTCTTCAGAGTTAATGGGACCTGCCTGTCTGTAGTCCTTCAAGAGGCACACAAATGCTTGTGCCCAGTTTTAGGAGCTGTGCTATAAAACTGGACCAGAAGTTCCCTGTGCCTCTGTTTTCGTATCTTCCAACTGCTTGTATAGTGAGTGTTGGACCTAGTGGCTATTTTCTTCATGTCCATTTGTGAAGTGGTTTTGAGTTCTTTCCACGATCGGGCTCCTTGGGCAATCAAAATACTTCAAACAAAGGAAAACGTGCAGAAATGTCAAATTTCTGTTTTCCAATTGCCAGATTTCCTGCAACCAGTAAGACAAGTAGGGAATATGAAAGTGCTGGCATTTTTTCCCCATGGTTTTTATTGAATCGGATACTTAGATGTTCTGAACAAATTCAAAGCAAAAAGAAATTGCCATCTTTCAGGACTTGCTGTAACCACTTCATAAGCTGCAAAAACTCAGCAGTCTTTTGAGATGGAGCTGTGAAGCAGGGCACAAGAGCAGCAGTTATTTCAGACAGCTTGCCTCCCACTTTTATTTTTGCTTGCTTGGTTCTCATTATTTCTCTCCGTGCTAATCATGCTTCTGAAAAATGTGATGTTAGTGTTTTTAATCGCCATGACCATGATCCATTTGCTGTATAAAAAAAATAGACAATTCTCTGTTTCCTTGTATTGTTTTTACTGACAAGGGTTTTAATGCCCTTTCCTTACCAGAATAGAAAGAAAACTAACATTTTGGGTGTCTAACTACGTATCTGGAAGGTGCTGTCTTCCTAAGGAATACCTTTCTAGGCAAAAACATGCTGTAGCAATGACTGTAGCTCAGTTGACAGAGCAGTAAATTCCAGCTGGTGGGGTTGTATCATCCAAAGTACTCAGGCTTGACTGTAGTCATTTGGCTATGGTATAGGACATAGAACTACATAAGGAGTAGTTTAAAGTCAGATTGTTGTGTTGGTATCCTCTATTACCAGAGTGGAGCTAGTAAATACAATATTTTTCTGGTCTCAATCTATATCCAACATACCTGTTTCCAATGTGGAAGATATTCTGGTGTCTCTGGTTCTTTACATTTTTGTTTCAGGACATAAATGGTTAGAGCAGACAGATGCAAATTAGAGTTACAGTTCTACAAAGCAATTCAGCTTTGAATTTTGAAGCTTTCTAAAATCCTTTAATCTTTTATGGTATTTTAACGATTTCCCAATTTAACAGGTACTTTAAACATTTCCTCTTTTACTTTCTGAGTTTGAGAATTTCATTGTCTGTTTAAATACCTGAAAAAGTACAAGGGGATTTATTGTGAGTGTAACATTTCCTTCTTTTAAGATCTGTATGTCACTGCAAGTATTTGTGCTATACCTCTGTGGGCCATTTACCTGCATTTTACAGGCTTGTTGTGCTGGCTGCTGGATGAAGTGTGTTAAAAAATACTTAGAAACATTATTACAGTTTATGCTTTGGTTAAAATAGTTAAAGGTTTTCGCTGGTTTTGCAGCACATGGTTAACCTGTTCCTGTTAAATTTAATCCTTTCTAGGGTGAAGTTGTGGAATTCCTTGATGAGCTGCTAGAAGTAGAGGAAAAGAAGGAATCCTGATGAGTGAAATCACTATGAAGTACTTTATGAAAGTGAAGATTCACCATTGCTCCTTACTATTGTTTTTGGTCACCTGTAGTTCCAATTAGATATACCTCAAAGCTGCTCCTTTAAGCTCCACCTTACATCACAAGATCCACTCCTGAAAGATCACTTCCATACTGCACTGACTCTTCTGTGAGCGTGGCTTTTCACTGTGCATTTACAGAATTGGTGCATATGGGTTTTCCCCCTGAGCTTTCTTCCCATCACACAAACACAACAGAACTGACTGTATTTTCCAGGATAACACTAAGGTGCCTTATTTCAGTGATGTTCTACTGAGTTGTAACAGCACAGCTAAATTCCAAAGAACTTGTGGCAGGTTAGGAACCAGGGAAGACATAACAGTTCCTCTTGACTTTCTGAGCTATGCATTGTATTATTTATATATGTCTTTTTCTATGATGAAGAGTAAAGGGATACTGAATCCCAGTGCACCTGAGAGACATTGAGATACATTTACATAGCCAAAATAAGTTAACAAGGCACAACCAGTGATCTTGTATGAATTGCTTGAAGAATTCTGTATGCGGTGTTGCTCTTAAGAACTAAATTAAATTCCATGATGTGAAACTGAGGTCACTTAGAACTGAATAATAAAGAATTCCTTTTTCCTATGAATTCTTACTCTTTCTGTTGAAACAGCTTGTGGCTCCTGTGTGAAGTGGGGCCAGTCTTGTGTAAAATAATGGTGCTCAATGTATTTAGCATTCTTTTCCATAGAAAACAGTTTGCTTTTTTTTTGTTTTTCAGCCTGGTGGGACTGTCTGCGCAGTTCTCATCCAAAAGTAAGTACAGGTGGAGACTGAGGCAATTGAAGTGGAATACTTAGGCATTTGTATGTGAATTCCTGACATTTTTATTAACTATATGGTGGAGCCTAATACAGAACTATTTTGAATTCCCCAAAGATACTGTATTAGAGATGAGTAGTGAATTGGTGCAAAAGACTACTGAAGAGCAGAAATCCTGTTGACATAAGAGGAGGATCCAGGATTTCATCACTTGCTTTCCCCTTTCTTTTTTAAGGATCAAGTCCTGCAAGTGGCTTCATCCTGCTTACATCAAAGGGAGACAAGAGCATTCAGTGCTCCTCTGACTGAATCCTACTTCAGCAGAATGGAAGTGAGTTGCAAAACAAAAACCTGCTTTAGGGAGTAAAAGAGGCAAAACATGATCTGTACGACCTTGCTGAGTTGCTGCTGCTGTAGCTTATATATGTTGTGGAAGCATAGTGTCTACACTACTGAGTATCCGCAGAGAATAAGGGGGAATCTACAGGATCAGGTTTAGGTCTTCCAGCCCATGACAGCAATGAATAATTTTAATATGTTAGAAGTTGTGTATGAAAGGTGTTTGGAAAACCAGATTGGTTTTTAGCTGCTTTAATATAAATCCCAGTTCGCACACTGATGTGAATGGGCAGGCCGTTTTATTCTCAGGCTGAAAATCCATCAAGAGCCTTTTAACTTCAGGAGATTTACCCAGCTCCACTTGTGGTAACAAAACCAGAATCTGGCTTGCCCTGTGCCTTAATACAGAGTGAGTATCAGATTTCCTGGAGCTTTTCGTTCCACATAATATTAGCACTCCATTTATTGTAATTTTATGTAAGAATTTAACTTTGCTTTTCAAACATAACAAGCAGTTGATCATAACCTATCACATCCCCATGCAATACATGTATAGTAATACCCAGCTGGGGTAGCTTCTCCAGTTTGTCCCTAGTTTTCTGTTGTTGGAGGAGTGTTTGTGCTCAAGGGAGAGGTTGGTGCTCTGGAGGACTCTTACCCTCCTGCTTTCACAGAATCACAGGTTTCCAGGCTGCATAGGACAACTCCAGATTTTCCCCTCAGAAACCCAACTGTTTATGTTAAGGTCATATGCCCAAATAACTTCATCTTTAATACTCTTAACGTCCGAATCTAGAAATCCTGCCATTAAAGGGCATGGAGCTGGTTGGAGGTGGATGTATCTGTCTACACTGCCTTTATATTACAACGTTTTCCATTTACTTTTTTCTTATCACCATTTACCAAGCTGACTTAGGAGCTCTGCCAAGCACTGACTATTGTCTGTTTCTGTGGTGTCTCGGCTCTTGTGTGCTGTCTGTAGGTACTGCATTGCAAAACCTTAAAGACTCCTAAGAGAGGTGCCTGTAATGCAAGCTCCTAAGGTTTTCCATATCTATGCATCGTGGATGGAAATAATGTGTGCAAAAAGCTTATGATCAGATTCTGCCTGTTGGTGAAGCAAATGGCATAGACTACAGTAGGTACGCGATAACAGAAAATCAATTCTCTTAGGTTTGCCACCCAGAATTACTTCTTTCCTGTTAAAGAACCCCCTTTCCCTCTCCAGCACTAATTATTGAAGACTGCTGTGATATTTTTAAAGAACAAAGTATGTGGTAAAATAGTGTAACATTTTCATTCCACCGGTAAAATACTGAGCACCAGAATCAACCTCTTTTGTGATTCATTTAACTTCAATGAGTTACACTGGGGAGACATTTAGTGCCCATGAACCCTAATTTTTTCTCTTCATCAAACAGTTATTCAGCCATTGCAAGTCTCTTGGGTATTATCAATTTTCAGGTAAGCTTGTGATTCTGTCTTTAAGGCTTCCTTAGCTGATCTGTTTTCGTGTTCAGCCGTTTCCTCAGCTCTTGACCTTACAGCTAAAATCCCCTGCCATTGTGCCTGTTCAGGTGGGGATTTCATGATTGACTAGGGTGTCCATTAGCCAGTGATTTGTTTTTCTCAAGCCTACATTAGGTAAGCCTGATGTCCTTTACCATTCCACTTAAACTGAGAAGGCAGCCTATACTCTCGTGGCCTCCTGAAATGGCACCGTGATCCCTTTTTCATTTTGTTCAAGTGTCTGTGGATTTTTTCTGGCTTTTTTAATTTCCACTACACATGGTCCCAAGCCAGTTCAATCTTAATAAGTACAAGTTGTTCTCAAACCCTTCTTCTTTTCTAATGAGAAATAGCTCCTCTCCCAGTTCCTCGGTATTTATTGTGGCTTTTTTCAGCATTCTCAGGTTCTTTTAACTGATTTTTCTTTTGCTGCTGCTATTGTTAGAAGCCAACATTTACATGTGACTGCAATAAATCAGTGTCTTCCACTTCTCTGATCTGCCAGCTCTTCTTGGGAGGCTACAGGAGCATAGTTCTTGCCTCTCTTCTGCCACCCCAAATTCTCTCAGTTGTGAGTTGCCTGCTTCAGATGTTAGCAGCATCTGCAAAACCTGAGGAGATGTTCAGGTTTTGTCTCATTTCTCTTTTTTATAAGGCTTACAGTGTGATGCTGATGCTCAGGGAAGTGTCATTTTGTTGAAGCCAGTGTTTGTGTGACTTAGTTGAACGCAGCGTAGGTGGCATGTGTCTGCTGACCCTGGGCTGACCAATTCATACTGATCTCGGTAGTAGTGTTGCTTGTTACAGAGCCATACAGTTAATTTTCTTAGTAATTGCTCACATTTCCAGTAACAATGCTGGCTCCCTGGGTAGCTGATTTTGGCTTTTGATCCTCTGGCAGATGGCTAGCACAAGGGCCTGCACGCAATACAAGTCCAGTGCTTGGCCTCTTGATGGATGGGGTCCTGTGTGATGGGGAACTGCTGGAAAGCTGAAGGTCAAACTGAGTCAGAAATGCTGGTGCAGAGCTGGGTATTTGGTTATGTGAAAATCTTGACTGCTGCCTGTCAGGACAATCTTTTTTATGCAAGAACCAAAGCTTGGTCAAGGGAAGAGATTCACAGCTGGGAAATCAGTGTATCTGACAGACTGCCAAGTATACAGTCTTTCTCAAAGTAATACCTGCTCTTACTGATAGTAACTTTTCATGTATTACCAGATTCTTGCCTAATTCATCCTCATAAACACAAATATTGATTAAAAAAGGAAGAAGGGTGGTGGGTGATTTTTTCTCCCCAAAGTTTTAATTCTGTTCCCATAAAACAGCAATATAGGCTCCATACTTCAGTGTCTTGTCAATTCCAATAGCCAGTGAAGTCAGCTATGAAACCCAAATGCCTTTAGAATTATCAATTCTGGCAAATTCAGTGGGAATTTGAGTGTCTTGCTGGGCCCTTTCATTGCAGCAAATCTGCAAGCAGACCTTCACTGCTACTGTTGACAAGGCATGAGTAAAAAAGCAGATTGAAACTGCTCCATTTTCCAGAGCCCTACTCCTTTAGAATGCTAGGATATAAGCTCAAAACATACTTGGATGCTGTTCTCAATTCACCTGGAAAGCCCATCCGACCAAGGGGTGCCACTTCTTCCTACTTGCCGGAGTAAGTCAAGGTAGAATTAAAGGTGGGTCTCCCCAAGACAAGTAGTCCCCTCAAAATCCTATTGCATGTCCTGCTTTACGATGCTTTTTCTCAATAGACTGTTGCCAATAATACCCACTGTGTATCTTTGCTATGAATTATTGGTCTATATTGATAATGAACCAGACTCAGATAATCTTTGTTTTTAGAGTCTTCACGAAAAATGGTTTAAATAGCATGCAAATTGTACAGCTCTGGAAACGGAGTTGTGATTAGGCAAAGATTTGTTGGATTATAGAAGTACAAGTGTTTATTATGGCTGGTATTGAGAATAAACAGTTGCCTGCATATGCCTGCTACTATGGAAATATGTTTTTAAGTTCTAATGTGAGCTGTAAACCAAAGCTACTTCAGTTAAAAAAATTCAATACTTAAACTGTGGGGAGAGGTAGTCAGTGCCAGAGAAAACATTCCCATTTAATAATGTTTGAACATAGAGCTGTGATGCAGTTTGTAGCAAGGCAGTGAGAAAAAGCCACAACTAATCCTTCATTGCAGCTGTCTGAACTTTTGGTTGTCTGCCACGCTTTAAACAGCGACTTCTTTTTTCTGGCGACTCAAGACCTGAATGACCTAGTGTGGAGAGTTGAAGCTATATGAAATAAAGAAGGTAAGTAAGAAACAGCCATAGCAAGTTGGGTTGCACACCCCAGCAAATCAGGGGTTTGTGTCCTGAGTCCTTTCCAGTGCCTAGGAAAAACATTAAATAGATACCTTTTTATTTATTTACTTTTGGCAAGGAAATATTCCATGGTTTTAGACACCCATCCCTCCTCCCTCCCCTCTTCCCTCTCCTTAGAGTATCGATGAGCTATGGAAACTACCTTCTGCAGAGAGTTCTGAAGTTTTGAGTTTATAAATGCTAACCTTATCTGTAGAAAAGCTTTCTAAGTTGAGTTTTCTTTGATTGCTTTTAACCTTTTTCTTCCCTTTGGTGTGCATCATGGGTAGGCCTTCTAAGCAGCCTGAAGGAACTTTTCCCCTGATTAATTCTGTTGCAAAGGAATGGAACTTGCTTGCTTTCAAGTAGAAATATGGGGGTCAGAGGTGTAACTTTATGTGACTACTAGCTTTGAAGGAAACAATTGGGGGTTTCTGCCTTTTCCCCTTCTTACTGTCTGAAATCTTGCTCTTATTTATTCGAAGGGATTAAACATTTAAGCATTATCCTGAGCTAGTGGTAACCCTGTAGCGGTAAACCCTGTAGCTTTATAACTCAATTCATTTTTTGTTGCAAGTGATTTTTCCAGTGGTCCTCTTTCTGATCTTTCACAGTGACGTATTATGTCATATCATTGCATTGCAAATTGTTGGGTATAAAAAAAGTAAATTCTTTCCACTGAAGAAAAAAAATTATGCTGGCTTTTATGCCTATGGCAACAGATGCCCAACATAACAGTTTTTGAGGTAAAGTATGTAAAAAAGCAGCACAGCACAATAAACCCTCTATTGTCATCTAGCTGGCAAATGCAAGGGCAAGCACAGAAACTGAGGGTATTTTAGCCCAAGAATTTACATGGAATAAAATCCATGATCCCACAGTTTCTGTACACCTATTGGCTGCAAGGGCTTGAACCCCCAAACACTGCAAGTAGCTTCAGTGGTACAACTCACAGTGAATTCTCAGCCTGCCTGACAACAAATCTATGCAAGGCTCTGCCCAGACACAGCAAACCGCCTGATCTGTATGAAATGGGGTCTTATTTAATAGGTAGTTGCTAATACAGGAAAGGAAGAGAAAGAGATCATATGTCAGTCTAAACACCAGTGAGCCATTCTAGCCAGCCTCTTGTAATATGTGGCTTTCCTGGAAGAGGATGATACATAACTTCTGTATCACAGAGCAGCAGGTCAATGTCTTAATGAACGGATTTCACCATCACAAAATCACTCCCAGTATTTTCCCCTTTCCTTTTCCTAATTTCAGCCCATAGCTGGCCCTTTCAGCTCTTAATTCCTTTAATAAGTGACTCATCCCCTACTGTATTTTGACCTTATCTTCAGATTTTACTGTACTGTAACATTCACCATCCCTACTGTCCTTGATTAGCCAAGTTTCACACACAAAAGGAGATCTAAGTCAGATGTATCATTCGTGGGCTGTTTACCCCCATCTGTTTATTAGTTTCCCCAAACTCCCTGAATCATTCTGTTAATGTGAAAACCGTGAGTACAAACAGATGCTGCTCCAAAAGGGGGTAGATGGTATTCTGAAGCAGAACCATCCTGGCAGCCTAAGATGAACACTTTTCAGCTATATCTTAAACTGTCTCCTACAAGACTTATCCAAATGACAGACCTGTCTTTCCTTCATAAACATGTAGGCAAACTGGATGATTTTCACAAGAACATACACAAATGCTTACTTTCCCTTTTTTGTACTTTGATCTTTATTTAAATACCTCCAAAGCATTATATTAATGTACATTTTCTGCTGGTTCGTGAATAACAATTATTTCTAAGCCTCAAATAAGGTCCCTGTACAATTTGTGGGTTTAATTCTATTTTGAGCCTCGTTTTCACATGTTCAGTTCTTGAGCCAAAGAGCATTGACTTCTCATTTTGAATGATGCTATGCAGAGCTGTAACACATACTTGTATCTTTCAGTTAAACAGTATTTGTAATGGCTGTCCCCAGGTTTATTTTTCAGCATGTTCCCATAAGATTACAGATGGTATGTTTTAGTTGAGTTAATCTCTATAAAGTTGCATAGTGTGAAATCCATTGGTTTTTTGGATTTATTTAAATGTTACTGCATAAAAAAATAGTTTACAACAGAAATCCCAGGTTATTTCATAGTCTAGAATGCATTAAAAGCATAAAGTCGTGCATATGGCAGAGAACACAATATTTACAGATTTGTACAGTTTCTGTCCTTTATTTACTGTGGCTCTTGCCACTCTTACCACTCTGAGGTCAAATTCTCCATATGGCCATCATCTAAAAATGCTCTCTTTTCCTTAGCAGCACTGAGACTGATGCCTGTGTGTATGACGGGCCCAATTCTGCACTCCACTTCATAAAGTCTACCTTCCATGGAGTTTAAGATGGTTACCAGCACAGGTCAACTCCCCCCAGTCACCTTTTCTCACTCCAGTATTTTGGTGTGTTGAACTACCGGCATATTTTGGCTAAGGCTGTGCAATAGAGTGGCAAATGAATTTATTTCTGACCTGCAGGTTATTCACTTGCCAGTCTTTCTCCTGTTCATTCAGAAAGGTAAGGAAGAGCATTTCATACGAAACTCACCAGAACTATGTTAAGGGATTCTAGAAAACATCCTCTTCTCTCTCACTGTTTATTTTCAGGACTCTTGGGACATGCTGTTGGAAAAGCCTCTCTGTTTTTACACCAACACCCAGTCTAAAAGTCAAGTGTTTGCATTTATTAACTGGATGCAATTTCTCTCTTTCCCAGGTTTGCTTTATCTTTAAAACCACAACAAGCAGCATTCAAAATGGATACCCATGTCCCACAGCCAGTGTCCACCCCAGGCACCCCTCCAGCTGATGTAAGAGCAGAATGGAGAAAATCAGTCCTTCCACAGAGTTCACATGGCAGAAGTGTTCTGCATGGCTTCAGCTGTCAGAGGTACAACCAGCTGTGAGTTCAGTGTCCTGGTCAGTCAGTATTGTGTTCAGAAAAGCAGCTGACTTTATATAGGGTGTCCCTGGAAAGTGCTTCGTCACTGGCTCTGTAATAAGAGGCTATTCATTATAACACCTGGAATCAAAGGTGCTCTAATTCCTGTTGGTACTCAAGGAAGAATGGCACTTACTGCATTCTCTGAGTTCCAGGGAGACATCGTGATTCCTATAAAAAGATTAGTATAAGAATGGTACTTCTTCACTAAGGCTAAAATAACACCTTCCAGAAAACTAGTGTGATGATCCAACACTTGTGGCTTGTTAAGTTCACAACATTGAAGAAAAGTACCTTAGTAATCATTGCAGTACTGTCCGTTAAAGTACGGTAGCAAATGGTTTTCCATTTTAAGACACATCAGGTAATAATTTGTTATGATGGTTTATCCTGACCAGCTTGGGCAGGTTCTAAGAAAGGAACACCACCAAATGTATGGTCCCTCCAAAAACATCTTTCTCCCCTCCTTCCCTCTTTCTTTCCTTCTTCCGCTGAGAATAGACCAAGAAGGCCTGACCAGCCCTGCCATTACATTATAACCAGGTAACACAGAAATTAATCAATTAATTTATTATTAATAGGAGCAAAATGTAAAAGCGGAACAAACTGTAGATGTACTACCAAGCACATGGTGTCCTGTTGATACCTCCAGAAGACTCCTGTGATAAAAACATACAGATTCTTTAGCTCTTGAAAGGTCGAATGTGTTAAACTGATTTCAAAAGGATGAAATCTTTTCTATGTTCTTTTAGCATTCTTTTTTTCCTTCTGCTTTCTGCACTGCTGGATTTTAGCATCCATGAGTCGTGTGATCCTTCTAGCATCAGTATGTTTTCCTTCCAGTTCCTGGCATCTCTGCCCAAAGGCCCCTGGTTAGACTTTCTGCATTTCAATGTGCTGGTGGTGGTAGTGGTGGTAGCAGTGATGCCTGGGTTGACACCTTCCATTGAGTTTATAGACAGAATTTTTCTGCTGCCGTTTTTTGAAGAACCACACAGCCAGTACAGCTGCAACCAGTAACAAACAGAGAAGAATCACAATTACTGCTATGATTGCACCCTTACTGGACCTGGGACAATCCTCTGCCTCACACGGATCAGAAGTGGGGACGGGCTTTTCTCCAAGGCCCTGGGTGAGATTTTCTTGCTCAGCTAATTCCTGGGATGATGTGTCAGTAATGATATCTGGAGCTGGTGCAGTGGTTGCTATTTGTGCAGGGTAGGTGGTTGCTTCTTTTGGTTCTGCGTATGGAGTGTGATCAGAGGGGCTGACCATCACAGAGGTTTCTGACATGGATGTTTTTAAGCTGGTCATGTCAAACAGCATTGTTGTACCAGGCTCCTGAGTCACAGTTTCCAGAGATGTAGTTGCATGGTCCCATACAGTATCATCATAACCTCTGCTCGTGCTTAAGTTCTCCAGACCACTCACTGATGTAAGTAGCACTGGTGTCTCTTTGGTCCCTTCATCGTCTGCTTTTGTTGTTGCTGCCACAATCGGTGTTAAACCTTCCTCTGGAGCTGGGCTGCCATTGCCTGATTTTCTTACTTCAGCATGATTTGGTTGGTCAGTTGTGAGGACAACGTCATCTTCAGTTCCCATTGAACCATCAACTTTATCCCCTTCCTCTTCATCATCCTCTACCACTTCTTGCGTTACTGGATAGCCATCTAACCATGATTCATCAGTGATGGCAACTGCATCTATCTCTGCCTTTGTATCATTAGTTGTGAGAATGGGTCCAATGGGGAAATCCTCACTGTCGTAAAACATTTTGGCACCAGGTTCATCATAGGGTGCCTTCACTCCAATGTGGTTATCACCTTCAGAAAGCTGTGCTTTAGTGGAGTCATCTGTCTCTTTCTCTGATTCAGGCTCACTGAAAGCCTCTGATGGAAACCAAAACAAGTTTTTTTGGCTTAGGAGTGACACAGGGGATTCAGTTGGTGCCCTGCTTCCTTTTTCAGAAGTGTCTGTGTCCTGAGTAACACCTTTGGTACTTCCAATGCTTTCCTCTGAGCTTTTACTGAAGGAGAGCTGGTCTTGCTCCTGCTCTGTTTCCTCTTTGCCATTGATGTGTTCATTCTCAACAACGGGTATTGATCTGTCATCAGGAAAGTTATCTTCATAGTCAATGTGCGCCTCGGTTTCATCTAGAAACATTGAAAAAATCCAACACAAAAGACAACACTTAATTTCTCCAGAAGAGCACTGGGTTCATTCGTTACAAGAAGCCAAGAAGAAAGGTGCAATGAGGAGTGACTTCTAGACAGTAATTTTCATTCCATGTGAGCTCTTCAGAGCTGCCCAAGGAAGACCCCACCACCAGAGCTGATACTGAGTTTTGCTTATCTTTATCTGAAGGAAAGACGATGCACCCATGACTGCAAGGATAGAAAACTCCAGCACTTAAAGCCTAATGCCTAGAGATCAAGATAACATCATCTGCAGTCAACTTTCAGCTTCCAATTTTAAGAAACTTCATGTTACCAAAAAGGAAAGAGGAGAAAAAAAAACCAAAAACAAACTGGCAAACCCCCCCCCAAAACCTGAATGCAGCAGAGAGGCAGATTAATCTTAAAGTCTGAGTTTGATTTAGAAATACTCCCTATGCCTCACCAGACTTAACCACTCATAGCAAAATAGATTTAACTCAGAGTGTGAAACTGAAGGTTTGAATTTGAATGAGATAATGCACTGTAATTTATATTTCTTTCACTCCTCTAAAAGACCTTAGCTCAATGAAAAATTTTCCAAACCAGACAGGGTGGTTGATTTTCAGCTCACACAAGTTTTACTCCATAGAAGGTTGATGTAATTGCTGAGATTTATGCTGGCATTACAGGCCCTAGAAAATAGCGCCTTAGGATGTGGAAAATGAAACAGATGAATCATGGTGAGAATTTTTCTTTTCAAGAGAGTGTTTAACCTTTCATGAAGATGGTGAAGCAATAGACCTGGCATGACACGGAAACAAGAAATTAATAGGCAAAGCTGTATTACAAATCAGTGCATTCATAAAACCTTATCTTTTTTTGCCTTTTTACACTCCACCAACTTTGAATCACATTTTCATCTGGGGCCCACCTCAGTTTCCGAATGAGTCACATTCTCCTTGGAGACTGCTTCCCAGACTGCTGGCAGAGCCACATTTGGTCTGCTCTTAAGAAAGATTAGAAACGTTGTCAAACCAGTCTGACCAAAACCACTCAGTAGTGATACAGCTCACACCAGCTTGCTTTTTGCCAGAACAGCTTAAGCCAGGTGCCCGAACAGAATGAGTATTAGCAAAAGGTATTTTTCTTGGAATAGCATCCGGGTCTACCAGAAACCAAAGCAGTTACGCTGAGGAAACCAAAATGTGTGAGTTAATACCTCTGTGAAAGCTATCATGTTGGAGAACGGGATGTTCTCAGTAGGTCCTCTCAGCTCACAGCATGGGTGTAGGGTGAAACTTGTGCAAGGTACAACAGTACCAACAGCAGACTTCTCTCCTGCCTGGTTCTGCTGTCCTTATCTGCTTGTGTAATCCTCTAGATCCTCTCCATCCTTTCCAAAGCAGGAAAAAAACTTCATCTGGTGCAAAACCAACTTAACAGACAGGGGAATCCATCTCTTAGAAAGGAAACCTTCCTGGTAGAACTCTCACTTCTCTAATTCATCCTAAAATCTTTTCCAACATAATTTCAGGCTTTCATTACTGACTGGAGGGTCCCTCTGAATACCAAAACATTTTAGCAACATATTTTTGAAGCTCTGTGTGGCACTGGCCATCACTATGTAGCACTTACAATACCTGTAAAATGCTAGTCTCTCTTTGTCCCTTGTCTCATTTTCACTAAAGAATTTTTCTAATGGCATTCTCTTTGCATGGAAATGGTGCTTCAAGCTGTTTTGTCCTCTTATGCTAAAAGCTGGTATCTGGCATGCCTGCTTCACTGAAGTCCAGTGTCTCCTAGGACAACCTATAGAATATATATGTGCATTGGAACATTGTAATAGGAGAACTCACTATTTACCAGCTGTGATGGTCATGTTTTCCTTTTCTGAGATGACTCTTCAGCCATGTTTGTCTTCACCTGTACCTCTAGTTTTGCTACTCATTTACTTTTCAGACTACTACAGCAAGCCAGCTGAGAATGAAACAATGATTTTTACATTACGGCATTCTAGTGCATGCAGACACGTCCGTGAACAAAAATTACATTCATATGCTTGGGTTATTTCCTCCAGACAGTATTCTTTAGTTAGCAGTGTGAATGGGCAGCTAGTATTCATCTTATTTACCTGTATGAATCATTAGTGAATGCTTAATAACTGTAGTAAGATGGGGTTTATAGAATTTGAAGCTCTTTCCCTTTAGTGCTTCTCCTGCCATGTGCTTTTAGCCCTTCAGATGAAAGTCCTATGGAGGCACATCAGGAAAGAGAATGTGCTTCTAGGAAAACACAAGCCCTCAGTCTATCAGAACATATTGTTTGCTGAACCATCAATCAAATCTCCATCAAACCTGCTGTCTTTGGGCCTGATCCTGCATGTATAGAAATGAATTGGTGCTTTCTTAATGTTCAGCTGAGAAAAGAAAAAGCCCATTGTAGTCTAAAGAGAGCCCGAGATTGGAGCTCATTATGCACTGCTTGTCACTGCATAAGGGAGGCTTGTTCCTTCTGACAATCAGATTATGGCCCAAGTTGTAAAGCTGCTATAATGTATTTTCATACGCAATCTCCTGTATTTGTATAGTTTATAGCAAAGACTATCAACATAACTAATGTTTGTGTATGGGATGGCAGAATGAAAGCAACTATTGAGCTCTCTAACCATCAAAGGAAATACAGACCCCCTGAGTCTGAAGCTTTGATTTATATGATCCTGAATTGACTTACCCAGTAATAATACTCTATTCTTTCTTCTGGGCCTCCGACCTTCAGATAGGGTCTGGACTTAGTATTTAGTGATTCTGTGTTAGCATGAGAATATCTGAAGTCAGCCATGATCCAGAACAGATTGCACAACTTTTGCACTTCTTTTTGCTCACCTCCTCAGCACTTACCTGAGCTTTCCAGCTCCCTGAATTTTAGTCTCAGTACTGAAGAGCCACAACCAAACTAGATTCAGCTCCACCTCTTATCCAGATAGTTGTAATCTATACTTACATAGTTTTTAAAACTGCTAGCAACTGGTTTAAAAGTGTTTGCATCTTCTTTCCTATCCAGGCAGGTCTGTTTTTAAGAAGAGCCAGCACTGAAATGAATTAGTCCAAGACCAAAATCTTCCTATATTTGGTCATCGTTACATCTTACCCCTACCCTCCTCTGACAGACTCAAGGATCAGGGAGTTTTGCTCCACTGTCTGAGGGATTACTGAGGCTGAAGTGAGCATTTTACAGCAACACAAGCTGAAATGGGACTCTACCGAAAACGTGAAATTCAATTAAAAGATGAAATCCTTTTCATTTAGCCTTGTCTTTTCTGGGAAGCATCCAGTCCTTAAAGAGCTTTCATCTCCTTCAACTTTTGATCCTAATGTGAAAACAGTGACCAAACATAGACACAGGCAAAACCAAAGAAAGAGCCTGGTTTTCCACACTCTAGGATCAATTTAATTTTTCTTCTAGATAGCATATTGGCATCCCAGCTGTATTTTGAGTGTTGCTATTTTGGACAGCCATAAAGTGCACTGCATATTTTGAGGATGTATTTTTGGAGTACAGGAAATTGAAACTTGATTCTATGTAGACCATCATCATAAACATTTCTACTGTATAAACCCAGCTTTATTCTAAGAATCTCAAAGTAGTTACAGTGAACATTAACAAGAGGACATGTGTCTGAAAGGGTAGGAAGGAAAAGAGCATACAGACCAATTTGCCTAAGATCAGAGTTGTCAACTAGAGCATCTTGAAGAATTATCCATTTGACTTGGATCACACTTCTCTCAAACCAGCCAGGGTACGCTAGACAGAAATTGTTTTGCCTTTAGTCTTTTGCAACAGCTGCAAGAAGGATGACTTTTTATTGTAGGAAAAGCCTGCTAATGTAAATAAATAACCCATCATCCTTTTTAAAAGTAATTCCATTTGGCAGAATGAGTCCATGCCTGATCAATACCTTCCATTAATCTAATACAACCACTCAGTGACAGACCTAAAAGAGAACCAAAGTTTGTCATAACAATAGTTTTGACGAGTCATGGACATGTTTTGTTCTGATTTTATTTGTCTGTCACAGCTTTTCCTTTGCACTCCCAGACAAAAACAAAACAAAACAGCCCCAAATAAGATTGGAAGCCAGAGACATTTTGCTTTCCTCTGCCCATTAAGAAAATAGAAGGAAAAGAACTAAGTGGTGCTGGCTGGTCATGCTTACAGAGCACATGAATGTGAATCAACACTTCCTCAGGACTCAGAAAGCAATGTTTGAAGCAGTGAGAATAGTTGAACCCACCAGAGGTGGTCAAAGTCAGCCGAATCCTCCTCACACTGAAATCAGAAGTCTGGTGCTCAGTGTGGAAGTCAGACCAGCTCTGAACACACTAGACAATCATCCAAGTGTTGACACTGGACAGATTCTTTAGGTGCGAAGCAGATATGACCTCTCCTGCCACAAGCTTATAGCTGGAAAAACCCAGAGCAGCCAAGGGAGGAGAAATATGAGACATTCCTCTTAGGCAGTTTTAGAGCAATGACATGATTTCCCAGCCACCTAATCCACCTTCTCTTTGAAGCAGCAAACTGTCAAGGACTCAGCCTAATGCAATACAGCCCTGCCCTCCCTACTGAAATGTTCGTATTAATGCTTCTGATAGTGAACCTATGGTTCATTTTGGGAAAGACAAAAACAAAACACATTTAGCAATGGTCACTTTGGTCTCTGTGCCTGCAGGACAGCTGCAGCATGGCATGTCTACATCTGCTTTCAGACCTTACTACAGTGCTCATCTTCAGAATGTATTTTGTGAAACAAATGCGTTCTTTCCACAGAAAATAAACTACAAAACCCACCTATTTCCCTGTTCCCTGCTTAAGGTTGCTTTGTTGGGTTGAATATCCCTGTGTTTTCAGCTGGAACACAGTGTCTTTTCATGACCAGAAACTGCAGGAAAGACTAACTGTACAGAACCACTTTTTTCCTTAAAAAGCATCTTGATTAAAAATTACCATCCATCTCCTGGTGTGTGCAATGCACAGTAAAGCCATTTGTAATGTACTGTTTTCTTAATTTCTTACGTACTTTACTGTATCCAGAATCCACTTAATACAATCCTGAAATGATTTTGTTCAGTTATGCCCACAGCCATGTTTTTCCACATATTTTGGATTATATGTTTATTGATGCATGATATATGTTTTCATTTAATTTACAGATTTACTAGCTGTATGGTTGTACACTTACATCCTGAGTGCCAGAATGGACTGTATCTCTTCTAACTGGATCAAACCAGAGAGGAAATATGATCATAAAGCTACTTCAAAGAACATGTAAGTGCTGTATTTAGACTCTGCTATGATGATAGCTCTTTGACACTGTATTTGCTCCAGGTGAGCAACTGGGAATGTAGTGCAGGCATAATAAGAAGACAAATAAGAGAAAAGCCCAGTTATTGCTGTTTAGTCTGATAAGCTGCTTGGACAGCTGGGCATTATAATGTGACAGTTACCAAGTAGTACAGTAATACACATCTGTAACATCTGCAAATCTCAGGCAGCTTTATGAAGCTTTATCACTCTTTCATGGATGAGGTGGAGTAAGCAGCAGAGAGCAGTATAGTGACTTGCCCCATCTCAGAGGCAGTGCAAGATGCAGGAACAGGACTTGTTCTTTTAATCCTATGGGAGGGGTTTTCTCCCCCTGTCCAATTGTGTTGGTGTAAGAGCATTGAGACCACTTCACATTTCCAGTTGCTCACCTGGCGCAGATGCAGAAGGAGGGATCTGCATCACCTCAGCAGCCTCTAAACATAGTACTTAAATGTTCATTGAAGTGGCTTTGCCACCATTTTCGTTCTAATGTTAGCCAGTTAGGACAGAAATGGCCCTCCCTGCCAACAGGGATATAAATTGTCCTGTCATTACCCATCATAATAGGGAAGTTACTCTTTTGCCTCAAAGCACTTAAAAAGCAGCGTGTGTGCTGACTTCTGGAGTACTTAAGTAGTAATTATTCTGCTTTCTCCTGTGACCCTAAAATAACTGTTAACCGTAAGTCAGGTTTCTTTTAATTAAACTCCCTTTTTTGTTCTTTTTCACTGAATTCTTGCTTCTTTAAAAGTAATGAAACCCAGTATCACAAATATCAGTCTTCTGTAAAACCTTTCTTAAAGAATTGTGATCAGGAGGCTTGAATAGCTAATTATTAATTGAACACATATTGTGGTTTCTGTCCCATATCTTATCTTTAAAGTGTTTGAGAAACATTAACCAAAGGAAGCCCCTCGACTTGAAGTCTACATTTAAATAATCCAGAAAGAAAACTCATAATCCACAATATTCCGTCTGCTCCCAAGTTCCAGCATTGATGTTTGTGATTTTACAGCCACATTTCCCTATTTCTTCTAAAAATATTATCCTCTCCCCTGCGGCTGTGTGAAAGGCTCAGGCAAAACAGGGGGAAATAGACTATTTATCCAGGGAAAACAGTGAAACACACACAACTTAAATAGCCTGATTCTTTCCCTTCCTTATTTTGGTGTCATACAGTTTTATTTCTATGTGTGATAAAGTCAGCATTTTCACTAACCTCAGTGAAGGAAAAAGAAGTACCAGTTTGGTGCAGATTATAGGAGATTCAGACCCAGTGGGTTATCAGATGTAGATACTCTTTTCCTTCTCTCCCTCCATGTTCCTCCTTCACTCCCTGCAGTATTTCACTTAATCATCTGAACTGCTGTTTGTAAGAACAGTTCTGGAAGATGAAACAGTTCAGAAAGATGTTGGAATTTATTTGTTTTTATTTCATATCTCTATACCATTCTGATGGGTTTGAATATCTGGTTCCCTGGTACACAGACATGACCCATTTCTACTAAGAACAAGTTTGACCTTTTCTCATGGTTATGTCTGCTGGTATATATTCATGAGTAAAAATAGCTCCTTGTAAGCCCCTGGGCATTAAGGAATACATAGGTTCTGAAATAGATATGCTAACTCGAGCCCATATAGATAGCTCAGCTACCCGACAGCTGCCCATTCCTTTGCTGAAGATTAAGCTGCTTTGCCAGAAATATCATCTTAAAGGTGTGAGATCTCTCTGGAAAAAAACCCACCATAACATACTCTGATGACTGTTCTTGAATACTGGAAAGAGTCTGAGCTTTATGCATAGAGCAGGGTAACATGAGAAAGAGAATGAGAAAGCAGAATTCAGATTGCATCCATGTCTGAACTCATGGTACTATTTACCTTCTGTTTAAACAAAGGGAAAGTTCAGATCATTGCACAATTGAAGTAACATAAAAGTGGCTTTTCTTGAAGGTTTAAATCAAGGAAATGTCACTAGTACAGCTTCCCATAGCTTTTACATTATGTTCTTGTTTGTTTGGGGTGTTTTTAGTCAAAGCCTGATTCCTTCAGTCAAGTTATTTGGTAAGAAAATCCACTGTCGTTCCTTTTAATGGAGTAAATATCTGGGCAGCTGCTGTTGTGTTTGTAGACAAAACTCCTGCAAGCATGGGTCAAGATACAAATTTGCCTTTTTATAGGGGCAAATTAAAGAAGAATATTTGTTTTTTCTTTATTTTTAACTTTTCCATCTAGCTGCTTAGCTCTAACCCAAGTGTTTCTGCCACTGTCACAGATTTCCATAGCACAGGCAGCTCTGTTAACATACACAGATCTCTAATTTTCCTGACCTACCAAAAGGAAGTGGTATTTACCATATGTGTATGGCCAGAAGCTCAAAAATACTAAAGCAACTAGGAGGAAAGGGCTAGTAAAAGCTCAGATTAGCCGAACTAGCTTCTTACAAGCCAGTGGAAAAAGGGGCTTAAAAGATGGGCAGCTATTGTATTACCCATTTTGCATCCCAAATAAAAATTCAAGAACACCTAAAGGATGGCCAGCTCAACTCAACCTAGAAAATGTAAAAAAGCAGAAGGAGTTGCATATGGGTCTGCTGTGCCCTTGAGAAGTATTGACCCTTCTCTTCATGGGGCCACAGTACTACCGTGGCATCTTGTTTATTCTGTAAGGAGCATGCTATCTCAGGGGCCTCAGCATGTACCATCACATAAAGATGTACGGGTGCTGAAATCATGGGCAACATGTCTATGGTAAGGAAAGATGTTTATTATGTGCATGCCTACAAACTTACACTGACTTTTCTCTGTTCTTGCTCTAGGTTCCCAAAGGTGAGAGCAAACACCACATTTTCATTTCAGCAGCCTGCTCTGTAGCAACTCTGTGGCTTCATGTGAAAATAAACATAGCAGAAGATAGACAAAACCTGCATTGTGCACTGTATCTGGTAAGCAGTGTCTTTGGCTCTCTGATGCTGCCAGGGAGCAGCTTTTGACCCCTGCTTGGAAGAAAATACCTCTGGCATTTCTTGTACCATCAGTAGGAATCCCTTACCTTAAGTAAACTAAGTAAGTACATAGAAAAGTTATAAACCTCACCCAGTAGTAGAATGAGCACACACAAGGTTATAAATAACTGATCTCCAGAAAGGGGCTGATTCTGATATTAAATACACAGGTGAAGGATCTTCCTAAAGCATATTTTCTAGTAATTAGAAGTTGTGTTCGGTACTAAAGAAAAAGAGCACTTGGGGGGGAAAAGAAGGAAGATAGTGGGCTGGAAGGCAGGAGCAGAATGCTAACGCTGGGATAAGACTCAGTGAATCCCTGAAATGGGGTTAGCAGATGCAGATAAAATAAATATGGCATAAAAAATCTGATTGTTATTTTTTTTATACTTTCAGTGGCTCCTGCTACCCAGAAAAAAAGAACTTTATGCACATGTGAGTATGACTACATTATTCTCTCCTGTGGTTTACTAGAGATGTCTGCCAGCAGGGCTGGAAGAGCCCTGTTGAGCCAGTTAAGACATTGATGCTGCAGTCACCAAGAGCTTCACTGGGGCTTAATGTGCCCAGGAGAGGCACACCTGTATGCCTGAAACCATCTCTGCTGGGTGGATGGGAGGCTGTGACCTCCTGGAGGGATGCTGCATGTGCTGGGTGAGCTTACCTTTAACACAGGCCTGAACCTGCCCGTACCACTCCCCGCAGCTATTGCAGAGCAGCGTGAACGCCGTCTCCTTGTTGCCCATGATGTACCCCTGGGCGCAAACATACAGCAGCTCGTCCCCCATTTCAAAGCCAGTGTGGCCATGCAGGATGGTGTGGGGGAAGGATGGTGGGTCCCCGCAGGGCTTGTCTGGAAGGTAAAAAGAAATGAGATTGTACAGACCTTGCAAAAGTCGTTAAATGCAGTGCTAACAGCGGTGCTGAAAGAGTTACACCAAGGACAAACTTATGCGTGTCCACGGAACTCATACATCTCATCTGATTCATGCCCTCATCCCCCTTCATAACTGTTTTCAGCTGTAATTGTGTAGTGATAACTGTGATGTTAGTGATGTGTAACTGCAATGCACCTAGAGGGCCTTTGTTTCCAGCAAGTTAGCTCAGGATGTTAAGGTACAGCTGTCTTCTCTGCTTGCTTCTACAAAGGCTAAAAAAGGCTTGGGTATGCTGGGACTGGAAAGCAAAAGTTTGGACACAAGTCATTTTTCTTAACTGCAGAATTGCTTATGGAGTTGTTTATGGAAGTGTTTAAGGCTGGCACTTTAATGCAAGCAGGCAGAGGCTCAGCAATGACCCAGCCTCCCGTCACAGAAAGGAAAGTTCAGGTGGTCACCAGCCAGTTTTCAGACTATTCCTTCTAGGCTTTCACAAAATGAAAGGTTTCTTCCCTGATGCTCAAATTCCCCCAATTTTAGGTTAGAGACACCCTAGAATAAATGGTGACGTGTGCTCTTCAACAACACCCAGAGGTAACACAGCTCTGCTCTCTGTGAGAAGATGAAGAGCTAAATATTTCAGGGTATAAAATCTAATGAGGTGTTTGATAATATTTATGCTGATAGCACTAAAAGCCAGGAAGCCAAAATTGCTATGAACAATAACAACTGATCTGGGTTTTTTGTTGCATGAAAGAATTGCAGAGAGGAGGCAGACAGAAAACTGCTAAGCCCAGTGTAAACTGGATTTTATCTCTTTTTTCAGGTTTGAACAATCTTGGCTATTGTTAAAAAGGTGGGTCAAGATCTAAAGAACCTCTAAGCACTAGGGTTTCTCTTCACTTAAAGGTCTTTCTCTCTTAGAGGTGCTTTTCAAGAGGTGTTTGTCATGCCCCCCTTTCCTCCAGATTTTTTACGGTCTCTTTTGCAATAGACATCTCTTGGTTACAAAAAAACCAAAACAAGAAAACCTGTAACACAAGAACACAATTTTACTTAAAAACCCAATGGATGAAGTGTGCAGTGTTAGTACAAATAAACACTTCTGTATTCTTTCTCAAATCTGATTTTCCCCAGTGGTTCTAGAGCCCTTATTGACTGTGGAAGAAAAACCAACCACTCCACTTGCCAAAGTAACTGAAGATTCCAACCCTGCTTCTGTCCAGATACAGAACAACCAAAAGTGAAAAGGCTAATAGGTAATAGCTCAGGAGTTCTCATAATTACACGGGATAGGAAAACTTAGGTCTGTGTTCTAGCATTGATCTTTCCTGTTGAAACAGTTGGCCTTGTTACAAAAACCTATTTACTTCCTTGGCTAAGCAACTATTATGTTCCTTGGAAAGACTTTTGCTTGGAAGCTGAAAAAATGATCTCCAAGAGCATGCTCCTAAACATGCAGAAGGAGAAACGTCTTCAGAGAGCACCCGTGCTACTTTGCTAAAGTCTGCTTTTAAGACAGCATCAGCACAAGATGTTAGAAACAACATTTCCATTGACACCAGTTCATGTCCAGGGTTTTCCATGGGCAGTAGTTTTGACAGTAAAGCTTTTTTCCAGTCTACTCACTGCAAAAGCTCAGGCTTTCCTGCTTTTGCCCCAGGGACACTCTGCAAGATTCTTGTGAGCCCCGGCTGCAGCTTTTCCCATCATCTACTCACTTCAGACCCAGGCATAGGTAGATCCATGTTTATTTGGAAATACGATGTATTTACGTTGCCGGTTGTTTGCCTTGTAGTGCAATGAAAATCCTACGATAAACATCCCTGCTCTGTGAAAGTCCTTTTGGATCAGGCTTTTGGAAATTGTCTGCTAGGTCTTGCTGACCACTTCTCAGCCAGGTATGCTGAAAAACATCTGCCACTAATTGAAAGGATACGCTACCAAAGTCAAAGCTTTGAAGTGTGTTCTCCGTAATGTACACATACATATATATACTGTCTAACACCTTCAGAAGTTAGTGGGAGTTATGCACACACACACACTGACAGAAAAAACAAGCTCTTGAGGCTACACAAAGCTCAGTTTATGTACAGTCGTACGGAGGCTTGGCATTCAAGGAAGTGAGGAGCAGTTAGCAGCTAATGCCTTTCCTGTGAACTGGTGGGATGAATACAGATTGATGGGGATGAAAGGAGTGAAAAAATACTGCTTCATAGTAGAGCATACTTCATTTATGTAGCTGCAACCATCAGTACAAATGGAAGCCATGTATCTGCTCTGAGGGAAGTCTTGATCCCAAAGCTGCATAGGATAATTATACATCAGAGGGTTTCTTATCTGCAAAGCCTTGCTTCTTAATCATATGGCCAGATGAAGCAGAACAGAACCGTTAAATTAGTTAAGAATGGCAAACACTTTCAGAAAGAGCATTGTAACCTACCAGGAAAGAAGAAAGCTGAAGGGAGCTTTACTGTAAAAGCTAGCAAGAGATGTGGTAACAGAGAATTATGAGATACTGAAAGAGAGATCTGACTAATGTGTGGATAGATAGAAAGAAAAGCAGAGATTTCAAAGGTGTTAATGGGTGGACACTCTGTGGAGGACTTTTGACTCTCTCATATGAGACTTTGTTAGGTCTCATCATTGCTGTAGAGCATGTTGAGTGACAGCTTGGACAAACAGAAGTGAAAGCTGGTACCCTGCAAAGACATACTGAAGTTCCTGCATCCATTTTGCTGCTGTCCTCATCTGTGTAAGATGTAAAGGAATTTTCTGGGCTGCAGCATCTTATGGCTCCTTGTCCTGCTGCAGCCTCAGTTGCTATGACAGTTCCTGCTCAGCCTTTTGCCAGACCTGTTCTTTCTGGTACAGGTACAGCAGTAACACTGGGACAGCAGCTCATCAAACTGAGCCACTCCTGTGGTCAGGCTTCAGGATTTGGTCTGCAGCCTTTGTACTGGGAGCTGGCAAAGCATCGGCTTGTTTGGAGCAACAGCCTCTGCTCAGTGCTTTCTTCCCTTACTGCTGAAAAAGGCAAACTGAAATACATACATAAGCCATCAAAGTGATGGGTGGCTGGAGCCAGCAGTCATTTAACAAAGTCTGATTTGCATTTACGCTCTACACACTACAACTCACTGCCTGTTTAGTTTTTCTATGGTGGCAGCAAATCAAAGCCTTATGGAACTGAGATCTTACTTGTTGCCTGTAAATATCAGTGGGTCACTGAAAGAAAGAACCAGGAGAATGTGGGAGCTATTAACAAAGAGATCTTTCCTTTGTTGCATTTAAAAAGCAATAGAAGAAAGGGAACCAAGAGGATTATACACATATGAAGTTGAATGGCTTGTGGTCCTACAAAAAAAAGAAGATTCATAGGGAAAATTCCAACTTTCTGTTTTTCTTGCTTTATCTCTTTTATACCTCAGGGCATTTTCTTATGAGCTTTGATAGAAAATAAATACACACTCTGTGTGCCAGATCTGACTTACTTGGTGATACTCAATTTTCAGAATAGGCAGAATCTGATGTATTTTTAGGTATTTTTTTGCACTCAAGGCTAAGAGAGAAGCTTTCTGATCTCAGCAGATCCTGGGCTGCTGGAGAATTGTCTTCCTGACCCTGATGTCTGCATAGAACAGTTGTTTACAAGAAACTAAGAAGACAAATGTCTCTGGACTGCGAAACCCATGGCTATACTCACAGCATTCATGAAACATTGCAGCTACATCTTTCCCTGTCAAACATAACTCTCACTACCAATTCCCTGTCAAACATAACTAATAGCATCAAAGACTTCTGTGATTCATCTGTGGGTTCAGAACAAAATCCATTCCAGAAGCACAAAAAAAGGTATCTGCCTCTCTTTGGGATTCTTACTTGTAAAAGCCTGATTCTGTAAGCACACCCAGAGCTTTTGCTAGCATCTGACCAATGTCCTGGCTATTGAGGCATACCAAGGTGTATGCTTATGCAATTCGGCTGAACACATTAATGCACTAAATGTTAATTGATTAAAGATTAATTACAAATCAAGGCCTAAGAAGGCAGTTCAAGACGCCTTTCGCACAACTCTAAGAACTAGCTGTTCAAGACAGAATTGAGAAGAGCTGCTATCATCAGCTCAGTTTCTGAAGAAGACTGATGTGTCTGGCCTCAATGTGCCTGTTTGTCTGAGCCTTTGGCTGATCTTAGCCAAGTCTGGCCAAGGCAAAGCTGCTGAGTGCTTGCTCATTTTGATGAT